GCCATGGGTGATAAGGCGTGCTCGTATACTGAGTCGTATGAGACACGGGTGGCTTCCGCTGGTCCAGGATGTCAAGGGACATTGTGTCTTACTGCATTGGTGCTATGGTATATAGGCTACATGCAAGCCATCACTCAGGCTCTGTCCAGCACTACGGCTCGTGCCCATGTCCGTCACTATCCACAGCTTGCCCAAGTCCCAGGACTATACCTCCATTGGCACGCTTAGGCTCTTCCAAAACGCACAATCCTGAACCGAGTTCGGCGGCACAGCCTCCATCGCAGTATTATTCGTCTGCAGCCGGAGACGCTGCCCATCCCCCCACGTATTCCACTTTGGCGCTGCTGCATATCGATATGTATTCGGATTCAGTGCCTGGACAAAGCTGATGAAGTAATGCATCGTAACGGGGATTATAGCTGCATTATAACTCAGATACGACGAGTCACTGCTGAGAGTCCCGGTCGATCCTGCTCCGAAGATCGCGGGTAGCTCGAACGTGTGCGGGACACCGATGCCACCAGCGATATTTGATTCATCGATGATGTTGACTCGGTAGTTCCACACTGCATCTGGTAAGTATCTGGCAGCTGATGACGCTACATGGTTTCCTGGACAAGTAAAAGTTGCGTCCCCATATGCTGCGGAGGAAGCACCAAAGTATGCCGCGTGCCGTGGCAGCAGCTTACCGCGAGGATAGACCTGATTAATTGCATCGAGTTGCTGGGAATTGAGATTCGGATAGTTATTCTTGAAAAATTGCGACACATCAGCACTGCTGCTAGCGTTGTAGGCAAAATTAGAGCCTTCGTCGGTATCGTCGCCCACCAAGACGGGAACCTTGATGAAGTTGCCTGCGTCAAACGCGCTGTACAACTCGTCCGGAACAAGATTGCCGTCGGTAACAGGGAGGAAGTACCAATCTGGTAGTGGGGAGCTGCTTCCCCCAGGGAAGGGAGAGGCAGTATTCCCTTTCTGAATGGTTGCAATGTCCTGTGTTCGCAGGCACTCCAGGGGATCACGAGCAGTAGAACAGCCTGTGTCGTTGACGAATCGTTCGAACTGAAACTCCATCTCCGGCACTGTTCGCTGGGTTGGCCAAAAAGATGACTCAACGATCGCGCCGATGAATAGCCCTTCATCCTTACCACCATAGGCGGATAAATGGTAGGCAACGGAGCCAGCACCCGCCGACACTCCATGAATCACGATGTGATCGGGGTCGCCCCCGAACTGTTAACGTCAGCACCACTGCAATATCTGCATGTCTACAATTATTACCTTCTCGATGTATTGTTTAACCCATCTGAGAGCTTTGCGCTGGTCAAGCAGTCCGGCATTCAAGTCCCCGTTCTGCCTAATCTGTTCACTGGCCAGGAAGCCAAGGGCACCAACACGATAATTGAATGTTACAAATACGATCGCGTCACCAGACTGTTGTATCACTTGGGTTCCGTTGTAATTGGCATTGGAATTCTCTGCATAGCCCCCACCCTGTATGAAGAGCCAAACAGGTAACTTGGATTGAGAAGTGGCTGTGGATGGCTTGAAAACGTTGATAAACAGGCAATCTTCGCTAATTTCGCCAGGCGATTCTTCCTCGTCTACGCCGATGCAGATTGGCCCGTACTAGAAACAGTTTTAGAGGGGTAACAGTTGACATGTAGAACGGAAAGCCAAATATTACCTCCGTCGCACTCTGAAGGGTTTGATTCGCAGACGGATCCCGGGGCGCCCGAAATCTCAGATCACCAATGGGCGGAGATGCATAGCGCATCCCAAGAAACTCGTCGACACCCCCTTCAAGACGCACGCCTTGATATTTGGCATACTCGAGATCGACCACGGGCTGTCCATTGTGGTTTGCCTGGGTTGGAAGACCACAGACAGCATAGGAGAACAAAGCTAGGCAGACCAGGCGTATCATTGTCGTGAGAGGCGAATTGAATGCCGATCGTAGGTTCAAAGCGTGCGTGATGACTGGAAGGCGATCTCGGCATACTTTAAGTATGCCATACGCTCAAAACGAAGGCGTCTTCTGCCATTCGTCATGCATGCCGGACACATGGAAAGTGACATCCGCTATAATAACAGCCTGAATTGCACGCCCGCCTGATGTGCAAGTTGAACAAACAAAAACAGTGGGGTCTGCATGCAGGGGAGTAAATAATCCAGGAATGGGAATGTCCGCACGGGCCCGGTCGACTTTAGCCCGAGGCGTTGAAGTGCGGGGACCACTCGGGGCTGGCTGAAGCATTCCATCCACGGATTGCAGTTCTTCTTAGGCTATTGTCCTCCTCACTTGCAAGGGAGGTTTTATCCACCGTCCTTTTGTCTCCAAGCTTTTAACCTCCCATATCGGGTTGGCTCACGACGACGCTGGAGTTACTGTTGTGCTTCAGAACCTCATTGCGTTAGATTCTGGGATCGTACCATCACCATTGAATGGGTGGATACTCACAATGCTTGCTGGTAGTCAGACACGACGGCTATGGTCCATAACTGAGTACAATTCATTCGGAAGGAACACGCACGAAAGGCCTTCCGGTATCAGACACCTCGCTGTTGGAAGTCATATGCATACTGAGTCGCAGTGAAGTGCAAATAAGGCCGAATGGAATACATATCACCTTTGTCAAATGCATTGGTACATTGCAATCGTACATGCAACTTCTGCAATGCCATACATTAACGTATTCCCCAGGAAGAATAGTATCGAGGACCGTAGGGCATTGGTCAAGTACCGAACTTCACTAGATCGTCGCTGTCAACCCTTTTTTCCATGTCTAGTAACGTAGTAATGGCAGGTTCAAGATCTTCACGCCCCACTGTTAACGGACAGCACGGATTATATAATGGGATGTGAGGAACCCTTAAAACGACCCAATTCATTAAGATTATCTATTGACAATTGAGACATCCTGAATCATACAATCAACTCACCGATGATGAAACTCATGTTGGCCTGGGTATCGCAGCAGAAGATGGTCCCGCTATTTCGCCCAATTCAATACTCTCCCGGGTGACCGATATCTGTACACTCTTTAATATTGCATTGCTTTGGTGCCCTTCAAGTGGTGGTGACGAAGCCGATGCGGTCGCTTCCGTTCGTAAGATCGGCTCTTCTTCAATACAGCTGCTACCGAACGAGCCCGGATCTTTGACCGGGCGAGAGGATCGCCACGACTTCTGTGGGGTGCGACCGCTGCGACTTTGAGAATTCGAAGCATCTTCCGTGTATGCGAACCCATGATCATCCTCGTAGACTGCCACGAACATCTTCAAACATGAGACTGTCAGAAGAACGATGCTGAGGCTGAGGTGGAGCTCCGCTACCATGGTAGCATAGGTACCGACGAGCGAGGGGTTGGAGGAATATATCTGGGAGTGGATATAGTATAGATGCACGGCGGAAAGGGGAATCAATCTGGAGTGTAGAGAGTGGTGTTAGCATACTGAGCTTCAGCACCTATGTAGATAGGTGACATACATGATCCGGCAATTGAGAATGGATAGGACCTTGAGCTTCTTGCTCATACTTATTTGCACGTTTCGGATTGTTATCGCGGGATAAGCCAGGATTACGGCCTCCAAAACAATATCAAGCGCACAGATGGCTTGCCATCTTGGATAAAGCCCAGTACAGGCGTCATCGATGTCGGTCCAAGGACGGTTGCTGCATCGAATGGCTAGAAGCAATATTGCGACCATGGCCCACAGGCCACATGAGGAAATGATGACATTAACTATCCACTTCGTACGCTGCAAGGAGAGATTTTGATAGAATAGCATGGTGCCTATTTTCGACAAGCCAATGATAAGAACGTAGAACAGATCCGCTGCGTACCCGGCCTAAGGCGATTAGCTCGTTAGTCGGCCGCTGCGCTCGGATAACGTACCTTTTCCATTTGCGTATAGTCACTGGATGAGATCAGCTCCTTTGACTTGCCCCACCCATGGTGAACCTGAAGAAGCACAAGTGATACTTGGGTGCAGGCGCATATCTGGTGGACCCGGGAGATTGTTTAGTGTGTGAACGGGCTCTCCTAGAGGAAGCTGACATACTGCTGCGGCAAACAGAACGTGGTCATCTTGGAGCACGAGGCCTCTTTTAGATGATGCGAATAACCTGATAACCAGCGAGGCAAGAACCAAGAATAAAGCCAGTGAAGTGACGATGACGACGAGCCCGTTATGGTTATGGTCGTTATCCTCCGTTAATGGAGGGGAAACTCCAGGAGGAAGCGACGAGGCCAGGACGGCCATCGCAACAGGGGGCACTGCGACTGAAACCCGCTGTCACTTCTGTTGAAAGGAAACCATCACGACATTGCGGTATTATCTACCGACAGGTTCTTTGAGGATGATCGCGCCGCTGAAATGAAGGAGGTAAGGTGGGTGTGCCGGCTACTTCTGCGGCTGACAGCCTTGACCGACAGGGTTGAGTGACTCCTTGACACCTTAGCCTTTCCGCAGTCGCGTTGGAGACGCATCGATTGTTTGCTATTTTCTGAGCTGGCCGGACAGGGGGTATGCTTATACGAGAAAAGATAGGATATGTGTGTAACCCTAGACAGCACACATGGCCCGGTCGATTGTATTCTGATGAAAGCGATAAGTGAAAAGAACGGTCGGCAACCATTATTGTTGGCACACTCCTCTGTGCCGGACGGTAGGACAAGCAGACAACCACCAAGAAAGTCCGAAGTCTTGACGGTACGCCCCGATCGCATGTCGTTGGTGGATACCGACGCGAATAAGCACAGCAAAACTGGATCCCGGCTGATCAACTGCTAATCGACCCCTCCTCTCCGCATCGCGCGTTGGTAGAATTGGGCTATTTTCGGAGCTGGCCACGCTGACTCGCTGAGAGTGGCCATCCACCACGAGAATGGGCCCCCAAAACCTTAATGCCTATCACCACTGCACCTGATCACATCCAGACATTCCTATCTCATGCCACGCGCCTAGCTGTCCTTGTTAGTCTGGGTTTAACCCGATTAAACAACGTTGGGCCTGCGTTGAGTAGGGCGATCAAAGAAGAGAGCAAGTATCCAGGCAAGGGTTGCAGCCACGCCCTAATTTCGTGCCATGGCAGATGGTCAGTCCAATGACCATCGAGGCTATCCGGAGGTTCCCTATTGGCAATCAAACTTGCCTTCCTTAATGGCCCGATTTCGAATTAGATCATCCTGGTAATCCCGTGTCTCCCTTGTCAACACTATCAATCATCTCGTCACGATGGAAAGAGGGGGGTGAAATTCCCTGCAGGCCAAGAGTGCCGATCGAGTGGCGGGCATGTCAAAAGTGTCGCAGCTGGTGAGCCGTGCTACACACACTCACGTTGTCTGTTGCTCCCGCCGCCAGCACATTGCGAGGGTCTGCGCCTCCTTGGGAAATCAAGGCCGCAGAGATCGACGTCTTGTATCCATGTTGACTGGCCACATTCTCCGGGAGGAGTACCATGGACCATGTGAGTGCGTTCCGACCCTTGCTGCCACGGGCCCCTGGGCCCTGATGGCGGTCGGAGAACAAAGACTGGGGAAACCCCACGCTGGATGCTGCCACAGTTTGAGTCATGATGAGGGAAGAAAATTCCTTCCCATTAACCTGGAAGAAAGCTCAGTGAATTAACGGCCAGTTGCAGGGAAAATAAGGGGATGCTGGCGGAAATGGCCGCCGGTTTCTTTGTTTGATCCCTCACGTCACACAGCTTGACTTCCCGTTTCGTATTTAGTCTGTGGTCGCAGAGTTAGCCTCCACAGCCGCATCTCTCTTCATTTCAATTCAACGCGTTGACAGTGTCCCAAAATGTCGTCCGCAACAGGGGAAGCGGGCAGCATCCAAAAGGGCGACCGGGTGGTGACGACGGGCTGTCATCCGCTGGAAATTGAAGCCGGCGAGCGGAGTAGCGGAGAGGCCGGTACGCGATATGACCATAGCGATATGAATCGCATGGGCAAAGCGCAGGAGTTCAAGGTAAGATATCTGCAAATATTCAGCGACCGGCAAAGTGAAGATGAGTAGCTAACCTCGTATCCAAATTCAGAGAAATCTCCGACCTCTGGCTGCCTTGAGTTTCGCTTCAGTCTTGCAGGCCACCTGGGAGTTTATTCTAATGTACCACATCCCCCCTCTATCACATCCTAACAGCCCACATTCCTTCAGCACTAACGCACCCGAGTCACTAGATCCAACTATGAAGGCCTCGAAGACGGTGGAATGGCTGGCTTGGTGTGGACATACGTGTGGACCTTTGTTGGATTCGGCTTCATCATCGTCTCATTATCGGAGATGGCGTCCATGGCTCCAACATCAGGTGGCCAGTACCACTGGGTGTCCGAATTCGCCTCGCCACGATACCAAAAGTTCCTAAGCTACATCACCGGATGGATGTCCGTTCTCGCATGGCAAGCCGGCGCCGCATCAGGGTCCTTCCTCACCGGCACAATCATCCAAGGGCTTATCAGCGTGCGCAACCCCGATTACGACCCCAAACGATGGCAAGGCACCCTTTTCGTTTTCGCCATGATCCTGATCATCTACTTCTTCAACGTCTATGCCGCCAGCTGGATGCCCCGTATACAGAACGCCCTATTAGCCCTCCACACCATCTGCTGGGTAGTAGTGATCGTCGTCCTCTGGGCCATGGCACCCCGCCAGTCCGCAAAAGCCGTATTCACCGAATTCAGTCTCTACGGCGGCTGGAACAACGTCGGGCTAGCACTAATGATCGGACAAATATCCGCCATCTACGGATCCCTCAGCTCAGACGCCACGGCACACATGTCCGAAGAAGTGCGCGACGCCGGCCGATACGTCCCCATGGCCATCTGCGGCGGCTACTTCAGCAACGGAATTCTAGCCCTTGTACTCATCATCACCCTCATGTTCGCAATGCCCTCGGTCAAAGACGCCCTAGACGACCCGACCGGATTCCCCTTCATCTACGTCTTCAAACAGGCTGTCTCCACCGCCGGCGTCAACGGCCTCACCGCGATAATCCTCATCCCCGTCATCTTCAGCAACATCCTCTTCAACGCCTCCACAGCCCGTCAGACCTACGCATTCGCGCGCGACCGCGGCCTGCCCTTCTCAAACTGGATCTCCAAGGTCAACCAGCACTACAAACTCCCCGTGAACGCCATCGCCCTATCATGCATCATCAGCGGCCTTCTCTCCCTCATCAACATCGGCTCCGACACCGCCTTCAACGCCATCATCTCCCTAAACGTCGCAGCCCTCATGTGGACCTACGCTATCTCCATCAGCTGCGTCATGTATCGCAAGATCGCATGTCCGGAGACATTGCCCCCGAGACGGTGGAGTCTGGGGAAGCACGGGATCTGGATTAATGCGGTAGCGTTGGTATATGTGATCTTCGCGCTGTTCTGGTCCTTCTGGCCGACTGAGATCCCGGTGACATTGAACAATTTCAATTGGAGCGTGGTGCTCTTCGTTGGAGTGTTTGTGATTAGTTTGGCCATGTATGTTGTTCAGGGAAGGAGGGTGTACAAGGGGCCTGTGGTGGATGTTAAAAGGGAATCGTTGTAGTTCGGGATGAAGAAGAATAGCTTCTCATAGCATGACATATTAATCATATCCCTTAGACACTATTCGTATGTCTGTTGGAAGGTAGGTACTATATCAAGTAGGAGTCGCTCGCATAGTTTTTTCATAGTATCATCCCATGTCCATGACACACAAAAGTCACCACCCCCAAACTAGATAATCCTCACAACGTGGTAAGTACTGATACCGTGATTGATATACAAGTTACCTGATCTATACTAACTAGCAAAATTCTAGAATACCAAATATAGATAGATACTAGAACCTGTTTAACACCCATATTTCCCTTTCTCAACGCATAGTATAGTATATGTGGGGAAGTTCGGATCTGTATTGAAAATGCATTATGACTAGGATAGAATAAGGGAGACTCATAGTTCCTTATTGTTTAGCTAGTAGCAAATCAAATCATTTCAGTCTGAAGGTTTCGGTCCGTCTGTGTGAAGGGAAGACTTTATGGTGGTATAGTAAATCTTGCATGTAGAGATCTACTGCAGGTACGTAGTAGGGTAACTAATCAAATGGATGATAGGTTCTTATATCAGGGTGATCACATCACCCCTCGACGTCAGGGAGATGAGATAATCTCGCAGATACCGGTGAGGAACGCATATAATTTGACTATTGCAGGCCATCAAACCGAATACTGGGCAGAAATTCAAGTAAGAAGCTAAGATGTTATTCTAACAAGGTGAATTGATCATGCTCACATAAGTGTCAATATTCCCATTTAGCGGTGTGAGTTAGTTCCTGCTGGTTGTTGCGCTGTAGAATTCTACCTAGTTGAACTGCTGGAAGCCAGACATAGTGGATCCAGTAAGCCATTGAGTTTAGATACGAAAGACCCGAATAGGTAGGAGAGGTGGATCCACCACAGACGGCAGAGCTGAAAGTTTGGCCAGGATGGAGGTGGCGGGGTACGCATTCCTGGCATGTTGCCAAACACGGCAGGACGGATGATGAGAACCCCTCAAGACCTCAGGGTGAAGTTGGCTCCATGATGGTAAGAAACCAGATCAAGGTATACGGTATGGGTAGGGAAAGCCCACATAGATCGTTACGTGGGACTCAATTCAGCTGATCTTTGTTGACTGATTTTTGCGCGGGTAGCATACGAAAGCGCCACATGGGTCGAACTAATATAGCGAGAGTGACAATTCAGGGCTGGCTTGTCGCTGAAGAATTGCCCCTCTGGATCCTGCCAGCTGGGTCTCAACGTCGAGGACGCCAGAAGATTCTTAGTGTGGAAACTATTCGGGCGCCGCGCTGTTCTTCCCGTTGACAGACTGGGTTTATGGAACATTCTGCTGCAGAGAATGGAAGGGTCGTTGTCTGATCTGACTACCTTATCAGCCTTCCCACCGGCACATATACTATTTCTTCTGCAGTTGAATTAGATCAACTGTGATTCCCAGCAAGAATGGTAATAGCCACCTCCGAGTATTACCCGACCTGGCCGGAGAAACTGCAGTAGATAGCATACCTCGCGGCTACGGCGGAATCTCGAAACCGGATAACCGGCGAGGAATGATCCAGAAAAAAAAAAAAAAGAAGCACATGGTGGAATGCCCTCTATGGACTCACACGTGTTGAGCAAAAAAAAAACAGTGAAAGGGTTATGATTAAAAATCTCAACCCCAAGCCGTGGTGCCCCTCCGTCGATCCGACACGTGTTGACAGTAAGGCCTCACGAGGAGTCACTGCAGTGGGTCAAGCACCGACACTAGAGCTGCGCCCGAGGCAGTTCTGGGTATAGTCCTCTGCATGGCATGAGAGGTAATTTCCCGTGTCTTATCCTGTGCCAAGTGAAACCTGCAGGATGATTTCATTCCAGTTGTTCAGGCCGCCTTTCTCAATATTGGATCCTGTATCTGTTGCTGCATGCAGTCGTGGATCATGGAAGAGTTGCATGCCAGAGGCCTGTTCCTCCATCAAGACCATCCATCCATCCATCGATGGTAGATGTAAAATTTCGGAAGACCCCGCTCTCGAGCCGACTCGGGTTTGCGTGGGCCAACGTGATCCGAGGTTATCAGTAAATGACACGAGCTCGGGTGTGGCCCGTTCGAGTGGAGCCCACGCTTAACTTCTCGCTTGTTCGCTACTCGCTGCATCGTGCTGCTTGGACCTCGACGTTTCGCGGTATCTTTACCCAGCGTACCAGAAGGCGTCATCCTACGAATTCTTCTCTACAGGCTGTGACGGTGTGTCTCAAAGGAAGCGTTTTCTCTTTCATCTACTTTAAACCAAAAGTGCGATAAGGTAGGAATATGTTATGTGTTTAGTTACAGTACGAAGTAGAAATATTGTAGGCTGGTTGTGAGGAAAACATATGTTACATACACTAAACGTCTCTCATGATTCATCATGTCATGGCCACATGCTCATGCCGTGGCGAAGTTCTCGCTCTGCACATTCATGTACGACACAACCCGGAGCTCACCACCCGACTGAACTGAGCAGGCGATGTAGGTGTGTAGACCACGTTGCTGGAGAGCGTCGGGGGTACTGCGTGGATTGTTAGCAACATGCACTTGGCTATGTGGACACGGGGTACTCACAATACTTTGCGCAGGGTTTCAGTATAGGTACGCATGGGCAGTTCCGACTTCTTGTTAATTCCGTACATGTATTCGTTCAACGCCGTAACCACATGCCAGTCGCTTGGCGCGTAATGTCGGGCGGGAATATACACCTTGACGTTGGGGGCCGTGCTTCCTGGGCGGAACTCCATGTTATACAGGATGCCCCCTGTGCGATGGTTGGCAGCTGGCAGTGGTGTATCATCAGGCACGCCAGTCTGCGCCAGAACCCCGTCCCACAACTGCCTCAGATTCCGCAGTCCAACTTCTAGTGACGAGGTGGTAATTCGGTTACCCATCGTCATCATCTGACGCACAGAGGCAAAGCTGGTTTCGCGCGTTCGAAAGTATATCTTGAGACGCGAATCAGCCGGTCGGACCAAGTCAATGGCTAGCATGTCCATCTCCAGCGGCGGCGTCGAGGGATCCTGGGCAAAATCCTCAAACATCCGAAATGCGCCAAGCTTCTCATTGTCGGTGCAGTGAGGAGCCGTGCGGATCGCTTGTGCGAGGACCTGTAAATTTGTCTGCTTCGTGGACCTGGCCTTGAACCCGGGGAAGAAGTAGGCCTTTCCGGTGATGTCTTCCTCGCTCAGGTCAAAGGCGTAGAAGATCTTCGACGGATGGCCCTCCATGCAGCCCTTGGGGGGCAGTTCCGGGGCCAGTGCTTGATCAAAATGATCAAACCATTCCCTGTTCGTGTTGGGCAATGCTCTCATCAAGACCTTCCTGAAGAGCGCGTCTGCAGATTGATTGTCGGGATCCACTTGCGTGCCGGCATTGGGGCCCACGGGCTCAATTGAGAAGCGAACCGATGGTGCCTTCTTGCCAGTATGCCAGTCCCAGCTCAACTCGATCGGGTTATGGTTGTCCGTCATGAAACTCGGCCATCTTTTCGCGTCAGGCTCATTTGCGACCCCGAGGTGCGGAGCAATCGAGCGGCCAAAGAAGCTTAGGATGCGTCGTTGCGCATGCTCTGTGTAGCCAGCCTCCTGCAGAAGCAGATTCAACACGTACCCGGTGGTGTGCCACCAATACCGGCCGTGGTGGTTAAGGACGTTACGGATCTCATAGTCAACCTGCTCCCAGCTCGATGACTGGAAGGACTGTGCTCCGCCAGACTTGAGAAGATGAGCTTTTGCATGCTCGGGGATTAGGTTGAAGAGGGAGGAGAACAGCGCATAGAGGACCGAGATAAAGAAATGCGGTAGCATGCGCGGCGATGCTGGAAGCAAAGGAGAAAGACTGCCCATTTTGGCAAGCCAAGTCGGGGAAAGTTCAAGATGTATGTAGTGTACTGGTCACGCGTGGTGGTGATTCTTCGTTGAGCAAGGGATGAGTAGTTGTACCGCCGCAACGCACGTCGACAACCTTATACCTTCTCCCGACAGGAGGAGACCCCGGGACGTGCATGGCTCCTTTATAAGCAATCAGCGGAAATTCACAGACGTTCGGTCGAATGACCAATCCTCGAAATGTCTCCGTCCAGTGGATGAACCCAATCTCCTTCACTCCTACTAACCATGAATGACATGGGCCGTGCGGTTCCGGATGAGCTAGACAGGGAGTTGCCGGGCACGGCGCACCGGTGGTCTCCAAGGGCGCGCTGTTGTCATCATCGAAGCGCAAGCGAGCGATTATTCTGTGGAATGAGTCCAAATCTGCAGAAGCCAAGAGCTGAGTATGGAGCTCCGTACGTAGGTGGTAGAATATCCATTCTTGGAAAGGCGTACCGTGGACCATTTCTCGCATCATGGCAACGGGGGGAGAAGTGGGGACGTGCGTGGGAAGACATCCATGGTTGGGTTGGATAAAAGTAGTAGACTAGAGAGGGTGGAGTTGTTTGGTGGTTGCCCTCCGCCGCGCCGTGCCGGGAACTTACCTGCCTTGGGACTGAAGTCGGTGGCTTGATGGAGTATGTACCGGTATTGTAATGGTAAAAGTGGCCCTGGGAAACCCATGGGATGTTTTCCCCTGGTTTTGTTACTATTCTTTTGTTATTTGTTGCTCTCCCTTTCTTGTGTGCCGAGGAGATACTTTACTTACCAGATGGTATTGAATTACATGCTGCTATCAGTGCCCTCTTCCTCGTCTCTACTTAGTCTCCATCACTAGTCAAGGAAACAGCCAGAATCTTTCGTAAGAATACCTTCCTCGCTTCCAGTGGTGTTACAGTTGCGTCCGACCTTTCAGAATCATCTCGCAACCGATTGTAAGACACCCACAACTACTATTTTCGATTATTCGCCTGGAGACGCCACTCTCGTTACACCGCCACATCGGGGATGACGCTTCTGGTCGGGGTTTGGTTGTATGCATACTTCATTTCCCAGAATACACTATCAGCCCCGGCTATACCATGCTATGACCTAGCTATGATTATTTGAGTGCTAGCTGAACCGTTGGTGCACCGCAACTCTGCTCCATATTGATTTAAAACACTCCAAAGCAATATGCCCATAATCCACTTGAGCCCGAGTGGCGAGACCAGCCCGCGATCATAGTTTGGGTTCCAATCAGCGATGGATGACCCCTGCAGCATCACCGCCGGGCGGCCGAAATGTCCACCTTGGCGCTACACTACGTAGTGACCCTTGTCCAGACTACCTGGATCGTGGAGCAACTACGCTGGGACTCGCCTTCTGGACGCCAGTCAACGTGGTCTGCTGCACGATCCTAGCCCGTGGCGCGGCAACGTGAACCACATGGCCTCATTGAATCAACCTTAATCATCCTTTTGGGGTCGTATCTAGCGTCAACTATGTCAACCACCATATTGAGGGTGCAAATGCCGGGAATGATGGGGCTATGGTTCAGGAAAAATGGTGACAGAGCCGTTCCAGCCGGAGAAGGCCGTCCTCCACTTTTTACCATTGAGTAGCTGGATCCTGACATTCGCGGAGCCCAGTAGTATTCTTCCTAATCGAAGGGGCCATGATACCCTACCACGAATCTAACAATTAATGCAATTTGCGCCAACCCGACACGCAGTCTGGGCCCCTCCCTTTGATCACGCGGAGTCTGTACTCGCAATCAGTGTGGGTCAAACTGTTACGAGTCTACAGCAACACGGTGTCTGGGCGACTAGCAACTACACAGTATCAATTACCTCGGTTCCCCGCACTGGAATTGAGTCTATGTTTTGTCAATGACAACTCCTTCCCTGAAAGCTGCTGTCCACCCTAACTATGCATTATAAGGTTCAAATGCTGTCACTTCTTCTCCGCCAACTCATCGCAGCCACAAGAACATGATGACCAATCCCCCAATTCCTTGACACTCATGAGCTAAGGTTGCCTGTATAGTGGGGTTATGCAATGGCCTATAGATCATCGAGCGGGCAAAGGGTTTACTGAATCCACGACACCGCCGATCCCCGAGCGTCGCTGGACATCGGAGAATTTTAGACTTTTTTTCCCTCTTCCTTCGCGACCATCATACCATCCGCAATACAGGAACCGCGATCGACACCACCACTACCAAAGCCGGAAGATATCGGAAAAAGGACGCGGCAACGGAAAAAGTCCCTGGGTTTACAGCCAACTCTCAACCCACGTTATCAGGCAGATCTCTACCCAGCAATCAAACCAACCTTGGTACGATCCGTCCCAGGTCCTCGGACCCAGTCCGCTTCGATCGCAGCAAACTCTATTTCGCTTCGTGCCGATATCGCGTATGACGTGTTTTCTTTTTGGGGAAGCCACCCTCGTAAAAGGGAAATACGGTATATTGTGGCTGGAGTCGTAATCAACCACGGGGTTACTCTAAGACCTCGTTGCCGGTTATGCATGCCTGTCGATCCTATCGCCTCCAGGTGCAAGACCTTATAATTACCACTATACTTCTTTAGGAAGTATGTGCGTTGAGGTCCGGGCCCGCTATTCTGCAGTACTCAGCCTGGACCATTCACTGACCCTACGGGGTGTTTAACAATTCGTAGCGAATTTATGCACACTGGTATTGAATAATTACCATTGTGCTATTATTAGTCGCGTCTTGACAAGAAGACCGATCTAGCTCCATTGCGTCAATCATCTACTTACGATAGTCAACAGCTACTCCTTCTGCCACATCGTGAGATGATCAAAAGCCTATCAAACGGGCCTAGATTCCACTAACCGCACCTCCACATCTTCAGACCCCCGCCTCTACAACGTCCCAAAGACACGAAGGCCTCGTAATCGATGATCTTGCTCGCGCCACAGACAAAGACCATCGGTGTCTCCGAGTTCCATCTCTGCTCTAGAACCATCAATATGGAAAAGACAATGGTTTGACAGATTGTCTCCATGACGAGTTCATTGTCCAAGGACTCCTTTGTGCTCTGAACCTTGGCTTGCATCTTGGACTATGTGCAATGGCGCCAGGGACGCAAGTACCTTGGTATGAACATTGGAGTGATGGCGTCTACCATCCTTCTGGCAATAGGGGCGTAGTTGTTGGCAAAGGAGACCTGTGGAAGACCCTTTCAGGCTCAACAATGGATGAAGATAGAGTCCAGACTTCGGTCTTTCGCCATTGAGCCCAAGATCTTAGTATCGGGGTCGGGGAGGCCGATGTCAATCACGTATCTTTACGTCTGCATTGGAGGAACTCTGGATCTGAATGATGCTTGGAGATGCCGTTTCCGGGAATGACGATCCCGGGGAGGCGATTCCCCGGAAAGAGAGAAAGTCGGGGAGTTGGAGAACACGGAGTTCGCCTTTCCTTTGGACTGGATCTCGATGTGGCACGTCTTGGAGGTATTGTGTCGGGGGTGGAAGCCGGTTAGGACCATGGATAGGCTTGGAGGGAAGGGTCCGGATCGGGATCTTTGTCTCATTGTGGGTTTAGCTGTCGGGATTGGGCGAGTTGGGTGGTGGTGGCTGAGATGGGGTAGACCCTGGGGTATACGAGGTGATGTTTTAGTGCTGACCTGGTACACAAGACGGTGAGAAAAATAGACGGAATGAGTTGTGAGGAATTATATAGGATTGCTACAAACGTGACTATATTGAAGGTAGGTATTGTTTGCTACCTAGTTTACTACTATGTACAACCCTCCTAGACGTGCTAGTCTTGACGACTGTTGTTAATTTGCTACAGGGGTGAGAAATTAGTTCAATGGTAAGTACTAAAAACTACTAGTCTACTGACAGATGCACTGGCAATCCTGATAGGCAAGCCATCCAATCACGATCTGGCCATTCCTTGTCCTTCAGGAAGCGGAGTGGAGATTGTGGAATAACTCAATACGTGAAGTATCCCACGCTGTAATATCCCAAGGGATGGCCCATTTCCAATACTTCAACGGACGAGTGTATTGCGCATTACGCATTAGGACCAATTATGCGCGGTGCAGCAAACATAGTAGTACGCAATCGCAGGCCTCACTGCCTCAGGCTTTGTGTAACGTTCGGAAGAGGTCCGGGTTCTCCGACATCCGTTTATTCCCGTTCCATAAAGAAAAAAAAGGGGCACAGCGCCACTGTGGAAGAACCCTGTTTTATGCTGTGTTTTTATTTTTTTTTTTTATGTGGAAACTCAAAATCTATCTGAATGATTGCCACAGCTGGACCTCACCTGGTAGATTTTCTTATTTTTATTTTCGGAGAGTGGAAGTGTAAATCTATCGAAAATTACAGCGTAAATGCAATCGTGGCTGTCCGTTTCGGTATTTTTTCTCGAGCGGTGAACATACCCATTGTAGCCCGTTTCAAGATGTAACACCACCGGGGCCACGCTAACACTGCCTCGTTGGCTTTAGCGCACCCCACCAAAACCAGGGTGATTGTGGTGGTTGGAGTATCCGTGAGTACCGGTCAGCATCAACGGCTGGAAACGGAGATAGTACATACCTCCTAGTCTCCTACTCTATGCTTTGTTTGTGGCATGCTCAGCTCGCTCCCGTCTGGCCAGCTCGGGATTTAGCGACTAGCTTCATATGCATGTGGAGCTGGAAGTCTTCGCTCCAAATGTCTGAACTCTGAAGACCGTGACGGCATGGCCGACTTGCCCCCACCTAATGAGCTTGTCGACATCATACTAATCCAACGGTCTTAGTTGTCGCAATGATCTCGCTTTGCCCCTCGGCTAAACATCAGTCATCTGCAGCTTTTGTTTCGCTCTTCTCCTGACTGTTTCGCTCTTCCTCTTGTGTTGGGGTCACTGACACTGACAAGGAAGAAAAGCCTACTCACAATGGATCCTATTCGAGCGGAAGCTATTCACAACGAGAGACATGTCAAGGTGGTCTGCGTGGGTGCAGGTGCTTCTGGGTTGTGTCTGGCATACAAGCTGCAGAGGTCTTTCCAGAACTACGATCTCACTGTACGTTACCTATAGTATTATTCCCTGTTTCTCTATACCTGCTCTTCTAACCTTGAATGCAGATCTACGAGAAGAACCCTGAGGTCTCTGGCACCTGGTACGAAAACCGCTACCCAGGCTGCGCCTGTGATGTTCCCTCCCACAACTATGTCTACTCCTTTGAACCCAAAGCAGACTGGTCATCTGTATACGCGGGGTCCAGCGAAATTAGAGGGTACTTTAATGATTTTGCGAACAAGTACGGCCTGCGGAAATACATCCACACTTCGCACATCGTCACCGAAACCACCTGGATCGAGGAGTCCGGCCAGTGGCAAGTGACGGCGACTGACCTGAAAACGGGTCGCACAGTACATGACTGGTGTCACATTCTGATTCATGCGACGGGCTATCTCAATAAGCCTGCTTGGCCCGAAATTCCGGGATTGGGCGATTTCAAGGGCATTAAGCTACACAGTGCGATGTACGATGAGAGCGTATCGCTCGGAGGGAAGAATGTTTTGCTGATCGGGGCGGGTTCATCAGCTGTTCAGATTCTCCCTGCCATTCAACCTATTGTTAACAATGTGAAAATCTTTATCCGCTCGCCAACGTGGCTGCTGCCGGATATTAGCACCGAGGCGGGCAAGTTCCCCGAGGAGCAGATTGAGCACTTTGTGAACAATCCAGAGAGTGTGACAGAACTGCGCAGGGATAATGAACGGACGATGAATAGTATCTTCAGTACGTTGACAGTACCCGTATTGACAGTGACTGTTGCTGACTATTACGAACAGCCATGTATCTCAAGGATACTATACTTCAGGAGCAGGCCAAAGGTCTCCTGACATCGGTGATGAAGAACGCCTTTCAAGATCAAGAAATGGAAGACCGTTTGATACCGAACTTCTCTGTTGGTTGCAAGCGTGTGGTGCCATCGGGCTTCAGGTATCTAAATGTGAGGACTCCACACCCCTGATTGTTCAAGGTGATACTAACACGCGTGGTAGACCCTCAAAAAAGAGAACGTCGACGTGGTCTACGGTGGTGTGACATCCGTAACACCATCTGGGTGCGTCAGCGAAGACGGGATGGAGCATCAAGGCGACATCATCATCTGTGCCACCGGGTTTGACACTTCCTACATACCGCGCTACCCTGTCATTGGACCCAATGGTCGCAACCTGCAGACAGAATGGGCCGAGTCGATCATGGGCTACATGGGAATAGGTATTGCCGAGTTCCCCAACACCTTTACCATGCTTGGCCCCTACACGCCTGTTTCCAATGGTCCGACCATGGTCGCGATTGAAGCTCAAGCAGACTACATCTGTTCCTTTATCGACCGTTACCAAACGGAGCCCATTCATAGCATGGCTCTTAAGCGGGATGTCTGCGCTGAGTTCAAGGAGCATGTCGGCTCCTTCATGCAAAAAGCCGTTTGGACGGATAATTGCCGCAACTCCCACAACAACCATACCATCGGCGGTCGCGTTCCCACGACTTGGCCTGGAAGCACTCTACACTATCTTGAGGCAATGAGAGAGCCACGTGCTGATGACTGGGATATCAAGTACAATGGAAATCGATTCTCATGGTTGGGAATTGGCGTTTCCCAGACAGAGTGGGATCCGACTGCTGATCTAGGATATTATATCCGGCAATCGGATGATGGACCCTGGCACAGTCGGCGCAAGCGGAATTTGGCCATTGCCAAAACAGGTAGCATGGCTCCGCGTGCTCTTCATAGACAGGCAAAGCTTGCAGCCAAAGAGAAATCCCAAGGCACCAAAGCTGATGTGCCGGACCAGATGCTGAAAGCACAGGCCGAGCCAGTGTCTGAAGCGACAGCGTGATGTGAGACTGAACAACAATAAGGGTTTATGGAGGTCAATCGATCCACCACTCCTTTCTCTGCATTTCGGAACCAAAAGCTTGTCTTCTTCATTGACATGGTGCCGTCATCTGAGTTTGACAGTCAAGGTAATATGCCTTACATTCTCGTCAACACTCGGAATTCCACGACTTAGCAAACGTGGTCACCACCATATAAAGTACCTTTATGGTGCACACTCATGAGAGCCGAATCTGGATTTTTACTTGAGTCACGATCCGGGATCCGGGATCGACAGGCAGCCCAGGCTTCGATTATACTGAGGCCACACCCGACTCAATATCCCCAATCACGGAGTGTCAACGTATCACATGCCGACTATGTTAGGACCTCTTCATAGCCTTTATGAATATGCTAGGCGGAATCTAAATTTACATTCAAGCTATACTCCGCATTTCACCACATGAAGTGGAAATACTACATGACTGAAACATCATTCCTCCGTACATTGCCATTGCACCTCACACGAGTACTTATTCCTATAGTTACTTAAGTTGTCAAGTAATGCGTCTCTACTATTTGTGCCTCTCACTTGTTATTGCAGAGATCTTCCAGCAATTGGGCCAGCTACTGCGATCAGTATGCCCTGGCAGTTATCGGGCTCCGGAATACCTGAATGAATCCCATACGACGAGCCATCATTATACGAGCATGCAAGGCTTCATCTAAGGTAATGTATATTGATCATTGCATGATGCATATCTTCTAGCAGCCAGATACTAGGCAGTTTATTGAAATCCTCGGAGTTGTTTGGACCGACTCTTTCGAGTAAGTGCTTATCCAGCTTCCAGCACGCAACCGTCAAGCTCGGGTTTCTTATGTCCGGAGGTTCAACTGCTAACGATCAACTTCCAGCTGAACGGAGTCAAAGCCGCCACCACAAATGGCGAGACCTGGAACAAATCGGCAGCAAATCCCTTTTTACTCAATCGGCACCTGCTGTCTCCACTCCAACGGTGATCTGCGGCTTGTCATACTACAATCGTCCCGGACCGGGATTTGTCCATTATTATCGGCTGGGGATTCTATCCACATAGCATACTCTACTATACCCCATTTTTCACTGACAGCAGGTTTTCGGACGTTCCTAAAGCCGAAATCCGTACTCTCCCCATGTCTGCATCCCGGCTTTACCTCTCAGGGCTAGTCCAATGCGACGCTGTCTTGGGGCCTCCACTTCTCGGAGCTTTGAAAGGCGCGAAGCTCCGCTGCAGGTTGTTGCAACGGTCCAGGGTAGATCCCCTGGCAGCTATTCAAGCTAACATATATATAGTACGTACCTGATCACGCCATATAGCTCCAAAATGAGCCAATATTCTAAGCTTCCAATTGCTCTGTCCGCAGCCAATCTAGACACCAGAGAATAAGGAACGGCCCTGGTATAACCTAGATTGAACTTATCAATCAATCGATTCGACAATCATGGAAAGCCACAACTCACCTCGCCGTCTTCTCTTGGTCAGCGTTCCCCGCACTGCGTCCAATCTGCTTCTGAAGATCCTCAACATCCCCGGCCAACCCAACGCATTCGCAGCCGATCGGGGCGGCTATTTCTTCTACAACGCCTTTCACGCCGTTGCTAAAGACGGACGCCTCACACAGGCCCCCTCTGAATGGACCGATGAAGCGAAACACGAGGTCCAATCAACCTTCCAAGAATGCTTTGACCATCTAGAGGAGACCTGCGCTCTAGCTGAGCGGGAGAACAAGACCATGTTCGCCAAGGAGCACTCCTTCTGGCTCTCCAACCCCATGGCCTTCATGCAAGCTATACACGGACCCGAGAAGGGCCCTTATGACTTTTCCACCTTCCACGTCAACGTCCCTAGCTCGTATGGTACGACGAGGACGTTTTCCACCAACAACAAAACCGTCCTTCCGGACGAGTACCTCCGCACATGGACAATGGCATTCATCATCCGCCATCCAGCCATAGTATTTCCCTCTTTCTGTCGTGCCATGAATAAGATCTCCGATATGGGTGTCATGGACACCAAGATACTACCCGGAACTCTACTCACCAACATGACCCTCCACTGGACCCGGTCACTCTTCGACTGGTCCCTCGAGCAAACCGGCTCAACTCCGCTCCTTCTGGACGCCTACGATGTGGTCCACAACCCGGATGCTATCACCAAGTTCTGTCGATTGGCAGGACTCGACCCTAGCAAGCTTCAATTCCAATGGGAGAGCGGGGTGCATGCGGATAGCGTCGCACGACCGAATGGGGCCTCCCAGGGCGTGTTTGACTGGGATACAGGAAAGTCTGTTATGTTGTCGACATTGAATGAATCGTCAGGTGTCATGAAGAGCAAAGAGCCAGCCGTAGTGGATATACCCACTGAGGTTAAGAAGTGGCAATTGGAGTTTGGGGAGGAAATGGCGCAGTTGATCGAGAAGGCGGTCAGTGATGCGATGCCGGATTATGAGTATCTTCGAGCGAGGAGAGTGACTGTTTAGATAATTTTAGCCAGAGTGGCTACTTAGTGGGTCTATGTTACTGTGAATAGTCCCAACTATCCTTTGGTTGACAGCTACATACAAGTAGTACAATGAATTGGCATTTGGCAGGATCTACACAGCCCCGCCAACGCCCAGGCTTGGCTCGGCGTAATGACAATCAATCTTTTCTTTCCCGTCTTCAAGCTGCTCTTTCTGCTCATGATCCTCTCTTCACTCTTACCTACCACAGGCTCCAGAGCATCTCCCCTAAACGAACATCACCTACACCCATAATCCAATCCATGGCATCTGCCGTGGAACCCAGCAGCACCAGCGGGTCTGTGGACCCCGCGACCGCAGCTGCCCGCCATGTCCCTGACCATGACGTCACCGAGAAGCAAGCGAGGGCGGCGCAAACCATCCAGGTCGGCCTCTACTCTCGCTACATTCTGCAATACTCTTAACAATAACTTCATGATATAGAGGATATATCGCGGCTATCGCACGCGACGGGAACTTCACGGACTAGATCTCTCTGCGTCGACGTCACGATGGAAAGATGTAGGCTCTTCCCGGACCCTGCGCTTTCTATGAACCATGCTAAATGATGTTGTCTTGTCGCTGTACCAGGCCGTGAAAGAAGCAGAATGGCGACAACTACACCGACCATCTGCGCCAGCTGAAGATGTGGATAGCACCGCGAACGCACGTCGGAATTGGCTCCGCGCTGTGAGTGTCGCGAAGCGAGCTGGGGGGGATGACGATGAGGATCTCGAGTCGAAGACAGCTAGGACGGGTAGTCATACTATGGGAGAAAATGTCTCAAGGACGGAGGGCTCCTCGCCCAGTATTCTCCACCATGATCTCCCGGCTGGCACTACGGCCAAGATGATGGATTTGCAATACTTTCTGGAGATGGTGGACTTGAAACATCGACATGGGAGTAATTTGCGGGTTTATCATATCTATTGGAAGAATTCGCCTACGAATCAGAATTTCTTTTACTGGTTGGATTATGGGGAGGGAAGTGGGTTGGATTTGCCTCAGTGTCCGAGAGAGAAATTGGAGAGACAGCAGGTGAGGTATTTGTCGCGAGAGGAGCGGATGAATTATCTGGTTGAGGTGGATGAGGCGGGGAAGCTTCGGTGGGCGAAGAATGGGGAGCTTATTTGGACGGATAATGCCCGGTTCAAGGATAGTTTGAGGGGTGTTGTCCATGTTGAAGAGGACGCGCCGAGGTTTAGGGGGAATACGGACGATGGAAGTCCGGTGTTGTCGGAGATGAGTGACTCGTTGGAGTCATCGTCAGGATATAGCTCGCTTAGTGAACATGAGGATGCTTTGGGGAAGCAGGAGAAGGATGATTATCAGGCGACAAAGGTGGGACAGAAGTTAGCGCATGTCAGTCCGGGAACGATCCTCAAGACCCTGAAGGGCAAGTCGTCGAAGAAGGAGGATATGTGGATCTTTGTAAGTCTGTCGCTGTTGCTTCGTTATTCTGCGCTATGTTCTGGGCCGTGCAGCTAACAAGGCAGGTTGCTGATACTACCTTCCGGCTGTTTGTGGGCATCAAAGAGTCCGGGGCCTTTCAGCACTCTTCATTTCTGCGAGGGGCTCGCATCGCAGCTGCTGGGTTGATTAGAATAAGAAACGGACAGCTACGTAGTCTAGCGCCCTTGAGGTATATACCCTCGTTATGCTCTAGTGCCTCAGCTGACATCAACAGTGGCCATTATCGTCCCCCTGCCGCCAACTTCCGCGCCTTCATCCATTCGCTACAAGATCAAGGTGTCGACATGTCACACGTCTCAATCAGCAAGTCATACGCTGTCTTGGCAGGTATAGAAGGTTACACGCGAGCGAAGCGAAAGGTGCGCGCATTGCAAGAGAAGGTGGACGGTGCGAAGCACAGGTTACACCAGAGACATGAGGGAGACGAGAGTCATCAGCGCGGCGAGAGTACCATCAATAAAAACGAAGCGAATGATGCGGCCGAGCAGGCTACGTCTGGAGGAAACGATACTCGTACAAAAAGGAGCTTCGATCTTCCATTTCGTCAGAAACCGATCTGAGACAGCATTAGTACAGGATGCTAAAAGAAGCTCAATCATCATTTGACGAGATATCACAGAGGAACACCCACATCCAAATTCTTCATATTCCCACCTCACCCTCCCCACGACTGTCCTTCTGCTCCAACAACCAGTCCTTCATATCAAAGCCCTCCTCTTTCAAGAGCCCCGGATCCGCATTCCACACAAATGTCACCCCAGGGACCTTCGACCCATCCCTAAACTCAATAAGACACCCTTTCTTCCGATACATATCCGTCTCATACTCTGCCAAGCGATCCTCCTCCACCTGCGAACGCACCTTATACCCGACCCCGTAAATCGGCTTTTCGGGACATCCGTCCAACAGCGCCGGAAATTCACCCCACATTCTCATTCCGTGTTCCATTATCATCGCTGGCCGGACGGCCGGTTTATCTTGACGATTGAGCACCTTTGCTAAGAAGGAAGGGTCGCTGAGGCTGCCATAGAAGAAGAAATAATGCGGTTGGAAAAGTTGGGGGTCATGCTGTGTATCTGTAGCGGAGCGATCTGATGCCGTTGTTTCTGATGTTGCGGAGGGGAACGGGGTGGATTGTTGTTGTGTGTTTGTTGCTGCTGAAGACATTCTTCTTCACGATGTATATTATATTCCCGATTAATAGTTATTATGAGCTCTGATATTTTCAAAAGACAACTGCACCGAGAGACGAACAATTAAAACCCCTTTAGTACATAGACAGAGTGATGTCAGCATGTCGAACATGTGATAGTCCTCCTCATAACAAGCTTTCCATATTCGTGGCTCACCCGCTTTTGTTGGAAAGGTTATCTTGCCCGGGGTCGCTTAATCTGGCTTCTTTCGGCGCTGGAATGATTACTCATTCCACCCGGCGATATGAAGAACATGATAGACTGGCAAGCAGTACATCCCGATTATATAGCTAAATAAAGTCATGTTACTCTATATTAGTGAGCTTGGATAGAGAAATATCGTTACATACAAATGATTCACTGTGAAACCAGTCCCTGGTCCACATGGCACAAATCTGTTATATCAACCGCATCTTAGCGTTAGCAGCAGTTGTCGGTATGACCAGTTTCGTGGGAAGGTATTAACCCCAGGGCATGATAGTGCGACTAGCTAGTTGCCATTAACGAAGATGTGATCTTTTACATCAACTTCACAACCCTGGCTGCTCGGAAAGCTGCTTTCCGAATCGCATTTATCATCACTCAACGATGGACTGGCCAGCCCCGGTCGTCAGTTAAGAGCAGACACATACTATTACGCAATCAATGCTTGATCTGTCAGCCTTGCCGTAAGGCTGAAGGGAATGATCGAGTTGTCCAAGACCGTTCGTCGAGTGGGACGACGGATCAGAAGGCCCGAGGCATGATACCACACATCCGGTGGAAAGGCCTGCTCGCAGTCCCATCCAGGAATACCAGGGAATCAAGAACTTTCAACAATATCCCCGAAGCCTGGACTTAACGCCGACAAAACAAGTAAAAGACGATGAAGTTGTGGACTCGTCCGAAATTACTCTACGGCGTGACTAACCTTCTTTGAGCGACCGGCAATTCTGATACCCGCCTGCTTGCTACCTACTAAGCTCCAACCTCGCCTTTCTATCAGTAACCCCTCTCCAACTGAATGCCAAGATCACTCGGGAGGTTCGGCTTCGCTCTCGTTGGTTGGGGCAAAGTGACCAGCGAAGGAGCCCACAGGTCTGTCTGGAGACAGGCATCACGCCAGATGCAGGATGATAGGAGTGTTAGTGTTACATTAGCCTTGAACAGGATATTACTGGAGGGACTGCATTTGTCGGCCCGTTATGAATGCCACCTGTGGAAGGATTTCCGACTTGTTGCGTCTGTCGGCTCATGATATGAGCGCGATGAGGACGTGAGTAAGCTACTGGGGGTTGGTTGACGCAGCAATTGAGATCAGCTATGACACCAATCCTGTAGGACACCTCCAGAGGCATACTTGGGACACCGAATGACGCGGAAACCGCGGAAATGCAACTACCTTACGTGCTGTGCCGAGCAGTCACAATCATCCGGGCAAAAGGGATCAGATAAGACGCCTTGTCTCAGTTGATTCGCTAATATGGCCAGTGATTTGACGTTCATTACCCGCTAAGCCTGCGAGTACCACGCTAGCGCGGTATGAACCACGGGAGAAATGCAATCTCCTCACGATGCCCCTTTTTTTCATTTGCGCGCTGGGCAGAAGTGCTTACACCCTAGTCAATTGAGACATTGCACCTGCTAGATAGTAGACAGTTTATACAGGCACTCAAAAAAAATCTTCCTTTCATGTCATCACCATGGATCAATATCTTCCCAGGTTGCAACATTCGTTCGATTCGATCACGGCCAAGTCGCCAAGAAAGCTTTTGCGCGGGCACACGAAACCCGAAGGGTCCACCGGAACCACAGGCACCCATTCGCCTTATAGGGCTGGGGTGTTTTCGTCCAAACACGGCCCACTAAGGCTTAGGTTAGTCCGAGGGAGATTTGTGGGTGCCGACAACCCGTGGCAGAATAATCCCTCACCCGATGACCTGGCTTGTTGGCAGGTTTTGTTGGATATATTTAAGACACGCCGGCCCGGGATCGATCTTATCTGATGCCACCTATCTGATCTGATAACTTTCCATGGTCCTGGTCTTATTCAGCTATTGATTTTGGTGCGGAAATGGCCACCGACACCAAAGATGGTCTCGACAAGGAGAGTGTCTACCCTGTCGAGGATACCGACCGTGGTGAGTTTGAGTTTTTCTGCTTCACCCCCTGCCCCTGTTGTCGCTGCTAACACAATCACAAGCCGAGGTAGATTCCCAGACCGAAGTACTACGGGCGGCAGGCATCGGTATCCACGAAGATGACCCAACAGAACCTATCCTGACGCTGAGAATGTGGGTTCTCGGTATAGGATTCTGTATTGTGGCCAGTGGGCTGAACACACTTTACACTCTTCGGAAACCATCCATCACAATATCCTCTTCCGTGACTTTGCTGCTGGCGTACCCGCTAGGCAAGCTGTGGGAGAAGACCCTTCCGAGCTGGGATGTCAATCTCGGCGTGTGCCGATTCAACTTGAATCCTGGGCCGTTTAACCAGAAGGTGAGCAATGAATAGCCGTACGCCTGACTTGTCGTGCAACATGTGCTAATAGGTACTCGATATAGGAGCACGTTTTAGTCTACATCATGTCGAACCTCAGTATCTACGTCCGACTAGGAGCAGACGTCTTGACGGAACAACAGATGTTTTACGGATACAAAGCTGGCTGGGGCTTCCAGATCTTGATCACGTTAGGAACATTCCTGGTCGGCTTCTGCCTGGCTGGCTTCTTTCGGTCCGTGGTAGTGGCCCCTAAGGAACTTATCTGGCCGGGTGTGCTGAGCACGACTTCGCTCACGACAACGTTGCACAACTTGGCTCAAGGAGATCTACAAGGGGTGTAAGTATACTGCTATACCTGGGAAGAAGTCAAAGGTCTAATGAGAAGTAGTAAGGATACGTGGAGAATGTCTCGTTACGCATTCTTCAGTCTTGCCTTCTGCATCTCCTTCTGCTGGTACTGGTTCCCGGATTTCATCTTCCCAGCGCTAAGCTATTTCACTTTTCCGTGCTGGATCAACCCCAAGAGCACGGTGGTCAATCAGCTTTTCGGCATGGAGAGTGGTATGGGCTTGCTGCCTATCACGTTTGACTGTAAGTGCCCGGCCCATGACTGTGCCACAGCTAGGCTAATAACTCGCCAGGGAGTCAGATCTCCTACGTCGGATCACCACTGCTGATTCCGTCGTGGGCAATCATCAATGTCTTCTCCTCCCTGGTGTTCTGGATCTGGATTGTCGCTGTTGCTTGCTACTACCGCAATGTATGGTATACAGGCTACCTTCCCTTTCAGAGCTCGTCAGGTATGTAGCTTGCCGTCTGTCTGGACATGCCCTCATACTAATCATTACCTCCTCAGTCTATGATAACACCGGTGCCACGTACAAAGCATCCAAAGTGGTCAGCAAAGCGACCGGCTACAAACTGGACATCGAAAAATACAAGGCCTATTCTCCGGTACGCCGTCCTGCTACAGTTACATCCCCACGATCCCTACTGACTCAAATACTCCAGGTCTACATGCCCGTAACCTACGCCTTGAACATGTTCGGCCTATCATTCGCGACCTTGAGTTCTCTCCTAGTCTGGGTGATCCTCGAGAACCGTCACGACATAGCCGCCGGCGCTCTGCGGGTCCCTCACGTCGTGCGCAGCTATTTCTCCAAGGACAAGAAACACACCGACACCAACTCGGGACACCGCGATGTCCCGTTCCTGTGGTACCTCGGTGCAGCGGTACTGGCACTATTTATCTGCATATTCAGCGTGGAATACTGGAACGTCGAACTGCGATGGTACGGCGTCTTACTAGCTTGCGCAGTAGCTATGGTCTTTTACGGCCCGGTAAGTGTACTCCCACACCACACCCAGTTATGTCAAATCTAACATCTCAGCTCGCAATCGTATACGCGACATCCAACCTAAAAATCAACATCGACATCTTCTGCCGCATCGTCGCCGGGTTCGTCTTCGAAGGCAAAGTCCTGGCTAACATCTGGTTCTTCGACATCGGCTATATCACCACCATCAAGGGCCTCTACTTTGCAGAGGACATGAAACTTTGCGATTACTGCAAGGTACGCCTGCCACTACACACACCTCCCCCATCCCGCTATCATTGCTAACAAATCACAGATCCCACCACGCAAAGTCTTCATCGTCCAATGCGTCGGCATGATCTTCGGAACCCTCAGCTCCGTCGCCGTCCTAAACTGGAGTCTGGGCAACATCAGCAACGTGTGCACCAGCGACGCCGTCAACGGGTTCAGCTGTCCCTTCTCGAGGACAAAATTCAACACGAGTCTTATCTGGGGCGCCATCGGCCCCCGCCACTACTTCACCAACGGCATCGGCTACAGCTCCTTACTCTACTTCTTCATCATTGGCGCCGTCCTGCCCATCCCCGTTTACTTCCTCAAACGCCGCTACCCGAATTCCCTCTGGCGGAGGGTTCATATCCCGCTGTTTTTGGGTGGGTTGAATTACCTCCCTCCGGCGACGGGGACGAGTTATGGTAGTTGGGCTGTTGTGGGATTGACGTTTGGGTGGTGGATTCGGAGGAGGGTGTGGGGGTGGTGGTATAAGTATAATTTTGTGTTGAGTTCGGCGTTGGATTCGTCGGTTTCTATTGCGGGTGTGGTGATTTTCTTTGCGATTTATTTTAGTGGTGCGAGTAAGGGGTTTAGTTGGTGGGGGACGGAGGTTTATAAGGTATGTTTGTTTTCGATTCCTTTTTGGAGGGTAATGGTGGCTAATGAGGGCTGTGATAGGATACGTGCGATTATAAGGGGTGCTCGTATTTGGCTGTGCCGGAGGGGGGGAAGTTTGGGGTTTGAGGGGTTGAGGGGTTGTATATATGTAGTAGGTGAGAGAGTTGGGGTTGGTGGAGGATTAGTGGTTGCGCGTATTATATAGGGCTGGTTGAGGTAGCTGTACATATTCAAGATGCCTTATTCATTGATTATAAGTGATCCTATAAGTAAACTTGGGGTTCAGTGCTGATAAAGGTTGAAATGCTCTTGCGGGATGGGAAACATTTAGTAGAGATTAGATTCAACCGAACACCGTCTTATTACTTCACCGAATTTATTGTATTTGGTGTTGTCCATGCGCGATGTGCAAAATAATCAATTTGGTTTCTTGTTTAGGCATCATATGTACTGGTCGCGTGTCTGTTTAGGTGATACAAGTTGATCAACGTCGCTGTGGACTTGGCGTGCAGGTGCAGGGTCAATAGGGTTAAACGTGGAAATGTATTCATCTGTTCTCGTCGCTGAATTGCTTGTTAGACTATTGGGTGTCTTAGGCTCCGTTAGTAGTTGTAAGCTTATATGCAAGAAGGAAATGCCTTGTTGGCGAGTGGTGAGGTAATCTTTCTTTTGATTCCTATGTGTAGCATAACACAGAACATAGACTAGGTGTCTTATGCTCACACGTGCTCAAAGCCTGGTCGTATCCCTGTCAGCCCTGTCGTGTGTTAGCAAGATCTGGTAGCTTTCGGGAGGACGTCATGTCCACCATCTTATCAGTCCAGTCAGGCACCACGTGCGCCAGGTAGTGGAAGACCTTGGTTCACATGATTATAAGCATTTCGCGAAGTGTGTATGGAAACCGGGCATGCGTACCAGCTTAGTATTGAGCATTGCTTAGAATTGCCTGGATCCAATGCGGAGAAGAGAGTTGGAAAAAGGAAGAATCTCATTGCTGACCAACCCCTCAACACGTGCCGGGATGCTGCTGGGTGAATATCAGCGACCAGCCAATCATATTGCTAGCAGTCAGCAGGCCCCACTGGGATGGGAATGTCGGTGCCTGAGGACAAGATAGTACTGACCAATCGCTGAGGCGGAAATGCGGCACATGCATGGCTAGCGATATCTTCAGTGGCGATGGAGTTGAAGCTGAAGCTCTCCACTCACTCAGTCTGATCCCCTGCTCAGTTTAGTCTCTCCGCTTCCCTCCGGTCGCAACTAGCCGACCTGGATCGATGCATCGCCGCTCCCCGTCGGCTCCTCCGAAGCCAATTGTTGCCCGGCCTATCTACACGTGTGATCCCTTGCCTCGCTGCCTTTGCTATCGCGACCTGGAGATAAACATGTCGGTCGCGGGGGATATAAACCGGTCGGGCAGCCCCAGAATTGTCCCCCTATCAGCCAAGAATCCTCGTCTGCTTGTCACCTGAAAGCACGCGACCATGAAGGGAACTGCTGCTTCTGCCCTGCTCGTCGCTCTCTCCGCGACGGCCGCCCAGGCCCGTCCGGTGGTCGACGAGCGTTTCCCCTACACTGGACCTGCCGTCCCGATCGGCGACTGGGTCGATCCCACCATCAATGGAAATGGCAAGGGTTTCCCTCGTCTGGTTGAACCTCCGGCAGTCAAGCCGGCCACCGCCAATCCCAGGAACAACGTCAATGTGATTTCTCTGTCCTACATCCCCAAGGGCATGCACATTCACTACCAGACCCCCTTCGGTCTGGGCCAGCTGCCTGCTATTCGTTGGGGGAAGGACCCTCGCAATTTGAACAGCACTGCGCAGGGCTACTCCCACACGTATGTATACCACTACTAGCTGGTATGGCTGTATGCTGACGGATTTAGATACGACCGCACTCCTTCCTGCTCACAAGTCAAGGCAGTCACCCAGTGCAGTCAATTCTTCCACGAGGTTAGTATTGACGGTCTGGAGCCCGACACCACCTACTACTACCAGATCCCTGCCGCCAATGGCACCACCCAGTCGGAGGTCCTCAGCTTCAAGACTAGCCGTCCTGCCGGTCACCCCGGTTCCTTTAGCGTCGCTGTGTTGAATGATATGGGATACACCAATGCTCATGGCACACACAAACAGCTGGTCAAGGCTGCCACTGAAGGAACTGCCTTCGCCTGGCACGGTGGTGACCTCAGTTACGCTGATGACTGGTACTCGGGTATCCTTGCTTGTGCCGACGACTGGCCAGTCTGCTACAACGGCACCAGCTCAACTCTTCCAGGCGGTGGCCCTCTGCCAGAGGAGTACAAGAAGCCCTTGCCCGCGGGCGAAATCCCCGACCAAGGTGGCCCGCAAGGTGGTGATATGAGCGTGCTGTATGAGTCCAACTGGGATCTGTGGCAACAGTGGCTCAACAACGTCACTCTGAAGATTCCCTACATGGTCTTGCCGGGTAACCACGAAGCCTCGTGCGCCGAGTTTGACGGTCCTCATAATATCCTCACTGCTTACCTGAACGATGACATCGCCAACGGCACTGCTCCCACTGATAACCTGACCTACTACAGCTGCCCGCCTTCCCAGAGGTAGATATTCTTTCTCCTAACCCTGAGTTGTAGTGGCTAATTGTTGCAGAAACTTCACCGCTTACCAGCACCGCTTCCGCATGCCTGGTCCTGAAACTGGTGGTGTCGGTAACTTTTGGTACTCCTTCGACTACGGTCTTGCTCACTTCGTCTCCATCGACGGCGAGACCGACTTCGCCAACAGCCCTGAGTGGAACTTTGCCGAGGATGTGACCGGCAACGAGACCTTGCCCAGTGAAAGCGAGACCTTCATCACCGACAGTGGTCCGTTCGGTAACGTCAATGGCAGTGTCCACGAGACCAAGTCCTATGAGCAGTGGCACTGGCTGCAGCAGGACCTGGCCAAGGTCGATCGCAGCAAGACCCCATGGGTGATAGTCATGAGCCACCGTCCTATGTACAGTTCTGCCTACTCCTCGTACCAGCTGCACGTGCGCGAGGCGTTCGAGGGTCTACTCCTCAAGTACGGCGTTGACGCCTACCTTTCTGGGTGAGTGCCAGTGTTGCAAAGGTACCACATTTCCCGCTAACAAACTCAGTCACATCCATTGGTACGAGCGTCTCTATCCTCTGGGAGCCAACGGCACCATCGATACCGCCGCCATCGTCAACAACAACACCTACTACGCCCACAACGGCAAGTCCATCACCCATATCATCAACGGCATGGCCGGCAACATCGAGAGTCACAGCGAATTCAGCGACGGCGAGGGACTGACCAACATCACTGCCCTGCTGGACAAGGTCCACTACGGCTTCAGCAAGCTGACCATCTTCAACGAGACTGCTCTCAAGTGGGAGTTGATCCGTGGCGATGATGGCACTGTTGGTGACTCGCTGACCCTTCTGAAGCCGTCCCATGTTGCCGGTGGTAAGAAGTTCCACGCTTGAACTGTGATCTTCTTTGAAGCACGGTAACTGCTAATGACAATACTGATTGATGTGGTATGAGATCCAAATGTTTGGAATGTAATTATGGTGGAAGAAATGTGTGCATGTGTACATGACAAAAGTACTTAGTATATAATTAATCGCTTGGGTTAATGCATCGTCGTCAAGTAGCTTTTGCTGTCTCTTATAGTTCCTCGTATCACCTCCTTTCCATGAATAAAAGTCACATGTTGGATTGGTCGAGCGATGCAATTGCCAGATATGGGATGAGCACTGCGTTGCATCAGGTGACACTATTACAACATCGTAAGTACTGTGTCCGCCATACTTACATCTGTAGATAAGCCAATACTAGTATCACTTGTACCTTTTATGTCTCCTTACTCGATATTACTAGCTTATGCATCCCAATGAACCCCAATAAGCCACTCCTTCCTACTAGTCCTCCGCAGGAGAGTATACTACTATACCTGGCCTCTACAGGACATCGGAATGACCCAAGCTATATTATCTCACTGCTTAATGATCCAAGCAGACTCTATCTCTGCCAGAGACGAGATGGCTCTCGCCGTGCAGAAGCAGGACATTCCCAGAACTAATGCTGCTGAGACGCAATATTCCTTGAAGTCCAAGATAATATTCAGTATGAATGCAGCACTATCTTCAACTATAAAAGGCAGAGGGGATACACATGGTATAAAACCTTTCATTATCATCGGTGTGTCACACAACGGACTGGCTTTTCGACTACAGTCCTTCACCTTGATTCGCAATGGACGATAAACCTTCGGCCACTAGTTGGGATTCCAACGAAATGTCTCCCTCGTCTATCTTTTTCACGGAAGATCATCCATCCCATCATCCAATATCAGTTACATCCGATGCGGACAATGAAGCGGATGCTGAAGCGGGTAATGAAGCGGATACTGAAGCGGGTAACGAAGCGGATAATGAAGCGTCGTCCCTTCTTCATTCACGCATGAGCGATGATGACCCACCTGAGGAATATCGACCACCAGGCCAATACACGATAACATCCTATGAGTATCAAGGGGAAGAGTATCATGGGCAAACGGATACATTTATCATAGGATCGGACGCAAGTAACATTCTCAAGGAAGCCGATCCTCCAATCCCCTGTGTGCTGTGGGGTATCATGATAAGATATATCTTCCAACATGAAATCAATGATAGTAGCGTACGTCTAGTACATATATCGCGTTATTCTGTATAGAACCTCGTGCTTATCAATTTGACAGATACCGATCTCAGTAGACCTGGTTGTTGAGGACGAACAGGTGGAAGACGCCATTGAAACCTTGCGCAAGGCTGGGTTCAAAGACGATGACAACTACCCAGGCTGTCCCTACAACGGAGGAGCCTGCCCTGTCAATGAGCTCAAGCCGGTTCACGTTTTCCACTTGTTCGATTCATTCTCTCATACCCGATTGGAGGAGAAAGCTGGTGTGAAGAAAGGTCCTCAACTGCATCACGATCTAAGACTCCACTTCAAATCCAATGTGTACTGGAAACTTCCCAAGTTCACTGTGCAGACGGAGGCCAACAAGGCGGACGAAAGCTTTATGCTAACATTAGACCACAGGCTCCACTGGGAGGGAGTTCACCGACCCAATGTTAAGGATTATCCGCCCACTAAGAGTCCCCTGGTTCTGCCCACGCCTGCTCGGTTCGCTGAGGCCCTGGTTTACCTGAAGGTGCGAGACGAGCATTTCAAGACAAACGAAATATGGTGGGAGGAGTATTTGGAAGAACATGTCAAGACATATCTTTACGTAGCTCAGTATGGCGATCTATTCCATTTGGACGCAAAACAAAGAACCCTCAGCGAGACATGCCGACGATGGTGGGAATCATGCAGGACTGGGGAATATACTAGCATACCTTCCTCGACACTGCTGGATGAATTGGAGAAAGAGATAAGACTCGAGATGGGAGTGTCCGGTGAACCAGAGCCCATTCCTCTCGACAGCCATTGGGGACAAGAAAATCCTCCGGATAATAGAACGAGCGTATCACCCCGTGCACCATATTCGACAGATGATGAGGCGGGACCTTTTCGAATGTCCGAGTCCGATAGGGCGGTGGATACAGACGAATAGCTCTGGATACATAGTTATGTGTCCTTAAATCACACTTCTTGCTTTTATTGGATTCCTTCCACGAAAATACTGTATGTGAATCTCTCTACACTTGTAGTTGACAAACTCGGTAGTACGCACCGTACTTGAACTGGAAAGAACTTGTATTTATTTACGTAGACTGGCATCACAATGCCACAGCTCTTTCCCTGTGCCCGGCGTGTGAATCAATATTCATCAGGCAGGAACTATGAAGAGCTGACATTACTACCACATATCCCTCTATTTCCTTTACGTCTCTACTACACCTCTCCTAATTGACATCTTTTGCCACTATCTTTCAAGAACATCCATATCTCAATTTGTATACCGTCGTATCTGTACCACCATGACAGGACAACAATCCATGTACCAGTTCCTGTTCGAGGGCCCACAAACCCCAATTGTCTCCTACAGATTCGCTTCATCCATTAGCTCTGTGCTCAAAGCCGAGGGTCTTCCATGTCTACTATGGGGTGATCTAGCGATGAGGGCTATGGGATACCACAGCATAGCACAAGTACATGCCCTTCTCAACCTTCCCCTCTATCTGCTAACTTCCTACAGAACCTCGATCTCATACTGGAGGACGAGCACTTGACACGCGCGGCCAACGTTTTCCGCAACTACGAATATGTCCATGAATACCCTTACTTCCTACGCTGCGCCTCAGCCACTGCCACGACCCGTGAATCAGGCCGCCCGATGCCTGTCCACCGCTTTCACGTCTACACCCACCCTGAAATTACCATGACGCCATCCCAAGCTTCACAAAGCTCTGGTGCTCAGGGACCAGCAGCAGAACAAGGAGAGATACCCCACATAGACATATGCCTCTACTCCAAGCGGTGGTACTTCCCAGGCAATCCCCCAATCCCGACCGGGATCCCTCGACCAACAAATTTGAGCTACATGTTGAGTAATGACGGTCGACTGCCCCTAACGGGTTATCAGCATGGTCAGCCCAACTTCGGCCGCTTTCCGCAAGATATCGCCCCGGTTATAATGGCAAAGCCGGCTCGATATATTGAAACATTGTTGGTTCTCAGAATCAACTTCGGTACTTGGTCGGAACAAACCAGGTGGTGGAGACTGACGCTTGCTCGGATGACGACGACTGGCTTTGGCAATGGTCCGGACGATGACCCTCAGCCGGTTATGTTTGGGCCACTGTATGATCCTGATTGTTTTAGGGAGGAGTTTCAGCGCTGGTGGAATTTAATGCGGGCCAGGGATATAGAGGCCGTTCTGGCAGAGGAGGAGAATATGGGGGTTTTGTTGAGGTCGCCCAGCACGCCTGTTGGAGGGCCGTGGGTTCCTCTTTAGGTTTTGGGTGCTTGGATTCGTATTTTCTTCAATTCTTCTTCTTTTGGGCTTTGGATGTTGACATCGAAGATGCCGTAGTTATGGGACATGTTCGTGGGCGATGTTTATTGTTAATGTTTAATGCTTAGGTACTTTGTAGGATAGAGCCACACCGATCTACTGGAATCAGACTGCCTCTTGTTCACAATTTCTTACTGGAATCTCAAAGTTCCCACTAAAAGTTTAAGATCATAATCCCTTTCAGCGGTTTAGATCATACAATTCTGGCACTACTGAAAGTGGATCATGCAACCTTAAGCTGTCCCCATCCCCTGTACATATATATCCCCATCATCTAATGCGCAACACTTGGTCAAAGCTACTTATTGATATATAAAGATGCTTCACATATCCCACCCGAACATAGAAGGTGCAACCTCCCAGCTTTCATTTTTCACTCACACTCGCCTTACTTCTCTTTCACATGTTTACCAACCCGCATCACTTGATTGTCTCTGTTAAGCCATATTGAACCGCTATTTCCTCCAACAGTATGAAGAAACGCTTTCTGTCCACCCCAGCCTGGCTATGCTCAAGAACCTCCAACTTCAAGCAAAGCCATCGCCAATCTAAATCTTCGTGTAAGATACTCTGTATCTCACTGAATAGATTGAGATTGAGCCGTAGCTTCCAATAACCTTTGTCAACTGTCCATTGAATTCCTTCCAGAACTGAGCAGACATCCTCATAAGAAAGATAATCCATGACCATATATTGTAACTCCATTGGAAGACGAATAAGCCATGAATCGATAGAGCATGGTATATTGCTCGCTTTATATTTAGCCCTATTCCTGCATCGAGTGACAAATCGCCGAACTGATGTCATTCCCATGGGATCTGTTATGTCTCATGTGTTATTTCCTCATTCCTATTGATGACAGTATATGAGTGAGCGTATGGGAGTGAATGAAAAACTTACCTCTAGGTTCCATTATTAGGAATGACTCTATAGGATCATCATAATAGATATATAAGCATTCCTTCAAACAGCGCATTCGCAGCGCACGAGACAGGATACCTAAACTCTCCTTCGTAAGGTGATGCCAGTTATTAACTCGAAGAAATTCCCTCCAACACCTAGCGTGAACCAAGTACCCAGCAAGACTCGACTGTTTCTCGATATTTTCCTTACATTGTACTAGCTTAGGTGCCGCTAGTCTATGCCGCCAGATTCTCTTGTAGTTCCCGACACTTATAAGCCCATCATCTTCGTGCCACGGAGCGTGGAACTTGCGCCATGGATAGAAATTCTGGGAAATTCCAGACAGCTTATAGCTCCGCGATTTAGGGTCAAACATAACTGGGTAAAAGAAATCAGCATGAGAAGTCATTTTTCTACCAGCAGAGAGATATTATAATATACTCAGCCGAAAGAGAGTTCGCCAGCCGGGATATGTAAGGGCATGAAGGTCTTCTATTTCGTGAGCCGTGTATGTGATTTCAGAGGCATTCGGCCTAGAGTAAGTATCCCGGCCAAGGGAGTGGTCTCCTGGGACAGTGGTAAACCCACTGCAACAGATATAGCAGAATGGTACCCACTTATATGATGGATTTGGGTACGGATCGATATCAATATCTGGCCAGTATGCATTAGGGTCCTCCATTCTGTTTGTTAAATCCTATAAATGTGCGACTCTACTAGCTTTATCTTCGTTCGTTGGGTTTTATGTACTTACCTTCCTTGGCAGACATAACTTCCGAATTTTTCTATCATTATGACCTCAACTATGTCGTTTGCACACCGGAACTGTTCGAGGGATGCCGTTTCGGGCCTATTAGTTGTCTTTCAGCATACCTTTCCCGCATAGTAATGAGGTTAATATTCAGCCTTGACCTTGAATCAAGAATAGTATATTACAAGCACAAACCATCGTCATTATTGTGGCCTTCATTTGGCAAGTGGTATGTCAGGACATTACAAGAAGATACACAGAACAAGGGAAAGTTCCGAGCTCTGTGCCATCTCCTTTAGACTCATAGCAACTAGTCCCGTGATAGTCTTTTCGTGTATGCAATCAATTGACAGGATATCTACTGGACTGAAAAGCACGCCCCTCTGGCTTTGCGTGTGCTTCATTACATTCCACGTCAATTACGAAACAAGAAATTCTATCTATGTCGTTGATGTAGAGAGACTCGATTCTTTTGATAGTATTACTCTAGATGCAACACAGATACCATGGTAGGACCAATGATTAAGGCCCTTATACGGATATGTGGCGAGAAGTTCGACATATAAGATTCTACTGACATAAATACAATTCCAGACAGAATATCAAAATTCAAACGGCCCTATACTGCGAGCCTACTTCAATATGTAACAATTAAAGGCCAGGTCCTACCCAAGGACCAGAGTCAGAAAGATAATGATCCAGATCCCTCTTACATTAATACTCATCATAGTGGGCAGGGATGTATATCCTATATGTTGAATGAATGTCTTCATCTCTAGGCTCTGTATAATTTATATTGGATTATGTGGAAGATCTTGTTTCAATACTGGGCTAGTGAAAGCAAGATGCCGTGATTATGGGACATTTCGTGGGCGATATTATTATTAATGTTTAAAGATTAGGTATTTTGTAGGATAGAATGCTGATGCATACCAATTTACTGGGATCAGAACGCTTTATTTTTGAATTTCAACATTCCCAGCACTGACAGTGAAACATGCAACCTCAAGCTATTTCCGCTCCCTGTCCATTCATATCCCTATCCCCGCCATCTACTACATATGATCAAGAAGTTCACATTGAAACCACCTAATAACACGCTACGCTACCGTAGCCACCAGATTCACAAGCCCATAGCATCGCAAGTAATTGTACTTTCTCCTCAACAAGTAAATAGCAGCAATCATGAGACTAGACCAAATCAGTCAAATATATAGAGCCCAAGGCCAAGAAAGCAAGAATCATAGCTATCCGGAATGTTGTTAATGGTTAGATCTTCTTCCACTGATAACCATCATTAACCTTGAGCTAATAGCTCCCGTTCACACCAGAAGCATCATTGTGGGTGGTAGCTGTTCAATATGAGGGACAGCTACCGCCATACTGGCCAGGCACGCAGGCTGCCTTCACACCGGCTGACCTTTGCTCACTCATCTCGGGCCATACCTTCCGCCTACCCTTGGAATAGAAAGTAAGGTCTGTTCCCTACAGGGTAAGACAGTGTTACTAATGTTCACCCTCTCTTTCTTATTTTGGAGTTTCGGTGCCTGACACTCATTATATCAAGCAGGCCTAAAGACCGTAAATTGGAAGGCAGCCAGGCGGTATGTATGTTTCTGCCCGTTTTGAAAGCAAGCCCTAGCCTATAGGGAACAGACCCCAGAGGTAGGCATTAGACGTCCTTTCTACCGAAACAATTCTGGTATTGGTGGTTGCTTTTTGATATCTTATATGCTAGAAAAGCAGCCCGGATATTGTGCAGTGTTCAGCAACTCGCGGACCGGAAACACCAATGGCGAGAAAGGGAGTTTGTATATCCAAGATGGTTGGACATTTTGCGAATGTAGTAGGTTGGGGAGTGGAAGTCCAATCAATGGGGTGTTGATGAGAAGAATCTCCTTCAGCAAGAGGTAGATGCCACCCCGGATTGAATGTACTGGTGTAGTTCTTCTCCATTTTGTCAGTTTTGTGGCGGTGTCGAGCCATGAGCATTGGTTAAAGCGCGTAAATTTAATGATTGGGTTTATCTAGATGGAACAGCACATAGGGCATACCGGTACAGCCCCCATCCCCTCCCTTTCCCAGCTGATGCGGTGATGTCCGAAGCTAAGCGTCAGAAGGGAGGAGGAACCGTACGTGGTTCCAACGGATGTTTGTTCCGGTGTGATCTGGTTCTATCTTCGAGAAAGGGCCAGCTTGACAGATGGTGGGGATTGCTGTCACTGATCGGACAAGTTGGGATTCTTCAGATATTCTGTGTGTGTAGGTAGGTAGGTAGACAGCATGCAGGTCAATTGACTGTATTTAGTTTCATCTGCATCGGTAAGACATGTCGTTGGTGAAAATGCTGTTTAGTCGTTCGTTCGAGGAAGATGCTGACATCGCTTTCGAGATGTAGATCTATATGATCAGAGATGTGGAGCCAGCACACACCGAACTGATATGGCCGCGTCTTCCTCATTTGCTTCGACACTCTCTGGGATATAGAGCAAAAGTAATAGTTCATTGACAAGTCATCCAGCAACCGCAGCCAGTCAGAGGCTAGACATGATGATATATATAATCATTATCGCCGACAAGGATCGTTGGGATGTAGTCTTTCAAGACACAACGACCAAACAATATATTGTCTATCCTGTTGTAGATCTTGCTGATTCCCCTATATCCCTGACATTCGGAACGAGCACCAAGCCAGAAATAATGGCAGTCTTCTCAGGGATTTCAGCACGCGGGACCGCCCGTTTAAATTGCAAGTGGGTGGGTGGTACAAAGGTGATATCGTAGAAGTTGAAGGTCATTCATTGCTTCTGGATGTAACCCTTCCATTACCGTATATAATTCGCATGGTTCGGGAGTGATGCAAATGACGAATCTACTTTCAAACGACACAGCGGTGTAGAGTCGTTCTCTTAATCCAGTCGCAAACTGTATGGTCTGTATTGTCGTTGCCATGTTTGGCTTCGGATCAGACTTGGCTTCAGGTGTAGGTGAGCCTGTCATTGGGAACCACCATCAATTAGTGCAACACATTGGACTCAATTTGTATCTATTGCGCCCCTGGACAAGTGGGAATATCCGTGTTCGTGTTTTCAAGCTCCTGTTATGATGGGATGGTGTCTTGCCCGGCTGTTGGTTGAGAAGGGGATGCACATGTCGATCTTCAGTTTGGAGAGACGCGGAGAGGACAGAGTTAAATTACTCTACCACTGTTGTTGTACACTGACATCTGGCGCCAGAGCATTGTTGTTATTTTTTATGTAGATAGGCAGAATGTAGCGATGATGGTGGTCGCAATGACAGACTGCGGCGGGTGGCTTCGTTTCGTGGGGCCGTTTCATGGGGCCTAACCAGAAGCAGAATGACATGTTGCGTCGATGTTGATTACAATTGGCTCACGCTGCATTTAGGTCAAGTTGGGCTGGATGCATAGCTCGAATGTGGCCTTTTGAAATGGCCTGTGGGTCAGCTGTTGTATCATCGTCACTGTCCATCTGTGGCGAGAAGGGTATCAACCACATGGTGTTACCATGTGCAGTAATTCGTTGGCAAGGACGCAAGCGAGACATATAGTCAAGCATAGAAGTATAGTCGTCATTGTGCCTCTCAGGGCAGAAGTGAAGTCACCGCATGTCCTTGAGTTTCTCATACATCCTCTTAATCTCCCTCGTAGGTAGCTTTGCTGTAAACGACGATACCCCTTTATATATAATGCTCTAAGGCGTTTGGCGTAAAGTTTTGCCTTCTCCAGACCAGACAGCACGACTCACATCGCTAGGAGACTTGCATCAAAAGGAACACCCAGACGAAATAACTGTATCGCTTCGCTTGTGGCTATATGTTGTCAACTTAGCCCCCGATCGGTCATCCATCATTTGATCTCAGGCGCCACCATGGCAGGTGTTTGTAGAGGTATCATTTGTAAGATATTCATCCACGCAGTCACCCCTTTTGAAACAGTCTATTAACTATCTCTGGCAAGCCCACAATAACTTGGAGGACCAATTGTACGGTACCAATGATCTTGCTATCTTCAGGCTGCAGTAGTTGTCGTTCACGCAGGTAGTGTATGTCCCGGCGGAGTAGCATGAGAACTCGATTGCTGTTGGACTGGTAAACATAGTAACCACTGTCCTTCTGTATATTGCTGGGTTTCAGAGACACCTGACTCTCTGGGTGCCTTTTATATACGGCACCGTCATCATTTTACCACTGCAGAGGATTCTGAGCGCAGCATGATGGACGGGACACGCCTCGATAGACCAAAAATCGTCCACTTCAGCCATTGTAGTCATGGTCTCTGTTTTATACATGCATTATATATTGGGACGTAATATAAACAGTGAAATAGGGGCAGGGTCGAGTAGCCCTGCCCCTAACTATTGCGGTAGAGACGTGAGCGAGAGCTGATTGACTCAAGCCAGATCGAGGGGGTTCCACCTGCCTTATATACTTGTTTTCGACTGTAAAGCCAGCGGGATTTGCCCTCTATAATAACATTGTTAGTCTCGCACTGACTCTGCTCCGGATCTTACCTCCCCAGAAACGACTACTGCTGCAGAGGCAAGCTCATCTATCGGGGGTTACCACTTGTAGCTACGCAGAAACCCGTAGATTTTGGCATCACTCGGGCATCTTTTGTGCCTCTAACAGATAGGTAGAGATATATTCGTGGAAGATGGTCGTACTTTACGTCCGGGGAGGTGGATGCCAGTAACTAGTGTTCGCCTCAAATTTTTTTTCGTTGGGATATGGTGTCCTTAGGCTTCGTGGACTTTCAAAATTTTGATCTTGAAAATTCCATGTTACTGGCCTATGAAATGGAAGACCTCTCTGTTCGTCTGAATGTTTATACTTCTCAGAGCCATGTACGACAACAGCGTAAGTAGGTGCGGAAGCCCATAGGGATCCAATTCACTGGAGTACGCTTGCTCGAGCTCATAGAGACAGCCGTGCTAGAAATATCAAAAAACGAGGTAGGTGTTTGAAGAAGTTCATGCCTTGTTGATCCACTTGGAGAATTTAGAATAAATCATGCCTTCCGTTCCACACTGACTTTCTTTTTTAAGGGGTTATGGAAGCGCTGTGCCATCCCATCCTGACTGATTCTGAGCGAAATACTGTACATCTTCCCATATGGTAGGACAGATAACATTATGTGTAAGCGGGTCAAATGGGAACAACGTGAGTTGTTGACTGAACTCTTCTTCATCTGAGATGCCTAGTTGCAGCACCAGTTCCGCGATAGCTGCAATCGACCAAGCTCTTATTGTGGGAGATGCAACATTGCAAGCAGCAAGGTACAGGGTCCAAACACGCAAGGTGGGCGGAAGCCAGTATACTACTTCAGCATTCTCCAGGAGCCGCCGCAGCTGTGAGATAAGAACATCGCTGGTCGATGCACCAGGAGGAGACTCATGAAACACCGCGTTCATCAGTAATAAGAGGCTAAGTCGGCAGACCTCCTGGGCTTGCGTTCTGGGACAATCATCTCCATATTGAATTGAAAGAAGTGTATACTGTATTGACGTCAGCCAGAAACGGATCCTCGCAACGACGGTTTGGCCGCTGCTCTTTGTGATACTGGAGAACTCCTCGACTAAGGATTGTATATCATGGATCACTGCTTTTAGTGCACTATCTGTGCGCAGCAGGCGATCCAGCTCTTGGAAACCTTGTGCTAAATGGTAGTCGTGAGGGTTTGGGATTGGGGATTGTTGGAACCTATCACTGAAAATGGGCTTTCGTCCACCATCTAAGGATCCACTGATATCGGCCCTAAAGAACCAATTAAGAGACTATCAGAACCACGAGGATCAAAGCATGTTACCTATATATCTTCCCCTGTACCATCGGCTTGTCATTCAATGCGTCCAAACCTCCTCGCATGTCAACTAATGCTTTCAGGATCCTCATGTCAACTTCCCATTGATCATGCTGGCCTGCTGCTTTCTGCAAGAGGATCAGCCAGCACATCAGCTTTGTTTGCACAGAATTCTACCAACCTTTGCAATAGCAATGCTGGCAACAGCAACAATTGTTTCATCCGAAGGCGGATCCACCGAATCTACGAGTCTCTTTCGAATAATGCTCATAGCTCGACTGATATGCCATATAAAAGCCGGGCTTGCTCGAAAGCGTTTCAAGTCCATGGTGAATAATGAACCACATGCCAGTACTACATGAAGCATCGCTGGATCTTGAAACAGCATTGGTACCCAATAGTCGTCTATTGGATTACAGCCGGCTCTCTTCTCGATTGAGTAGAGTGTCTCTGATGCGCGATTCTTGTCTTCGAGAGTTTTTGTTAGCTAGGCGTGCACAGAAAAATGAATTACCATCTTCCTCACTCACAAAACGCAAAGAGATCAAACATGTATGGCTCCATGGTAATAGGCAGCGTGTCAAATGGATCTGTCTGGTTTTTCTGCGGATATGCATGTGGAATGTGGCTGTAGGTCAGGCGAGACCGCTCAAGGCTAGAATAACCCTGGGTAATCTCGACTCTCCCCTGATCCTGACGACTACTGTTAATCATTGTGTGGCTTCTGATGGTGGTGCAGGCTTCTTCATCCATTTCCATTGGGGCCAACGTGGGCCCAAGGTTGATGAACTTGAAGTGGGAAGCGGCGGCGGGGCGACGCCGGGACCCCTTAAGGTGTTGCTTCTTCTTTGTCGCTAAAGTTGGTCAGACCATGCTGATATTCTATCTCTAGATGGGTTTGTGGACTAACATCCTGCGGGACGCCCTCTCCTCTTTGGTGGAGATATCTTAAGTGGACCATTGGTATACTGAAACACCACCGATTCGGATGGTAATGGCCCCGTTGAGAATACCACCTCACTCGGAATGTTATCCATCGAGAATAGAAGTAAGGTACTAGACGGTCCTGGATGCGGTATACACGAAGGAAATGCGATGAAGTGAAGTCAAGGGTCATATGGGACAGTAATCCTGTTGAAAGCGACCGGGCTTAGCGTGGCTCCGTTATCTCCGTCATCGCCCGTCTCAGGCACTAACCCAATCGGGTTGCCAGTCTCAGATTAATTCAGCCCAAATAGGAAATCTACTAATGGAGCCAACATAAGCAGCAAAATGGGTCGAATTGATGACCAGAATATATACGAATTGGGCTCATTTATACGTGAAGTCCTTGACTATCTCGGAAATAAGTTTAAGAAGGCTGCACGCATCTTTCAATCAGGGCCCTATATATGCTATGATCGTTTCCCACATACAGGACTTCTGTTCTATCTTCCTCATCTTCATCTTCATCTCACCTTCATCTCACCTTCACCAATTTTCAAATATCCTTCGGAAGCGTTATATATTTGAGTATCAAATCTCGCAGACCGCTTCTCATCATCATGTCTTCTTATTCCTCTCAAACTTCGGCAGAACAGGTAGCACAGGATTGCCAGAATGCCATTGCCAACAAGACTGTGCTCGTGACTGGCGTTAGCCCAGGTGGTCTTGGTGCCGAGTTTGCAAAGGTCATTGCCATTCACGGCCCTTCCCTCCTTATTCTTGCTAGCCGCGATATTGCCAAAGCTCAGCAGACAGCCCAGGAGATTGCAGACATTGCGCCAGGAGTACCCACCCGTCTCCTTGAACTAGATCTGCGCTCTCAAGCCCAAGTCCGAATCGCCGCTAAGGAAGTTCTGACATACAAGGAGGATATAGATGTCTTGGTCAACAACGCTGGTGTCATGGCATCACCGTTCTCGCTAACGGATGATGGGATCGAGAGTCAATTTGCCACCAATCACGTCGGGCATTTTCTGTTCACCAATCTAATCATGAAAAAGCTAGTGATCCCTGGAAAGTCTTGCCGGATTGTGAACGTGTCTAGCAATGGCCACCTGTTGAGCCCAGTCAGATTTCATGATTGGAATTTCGACGTGAGTATATATGTTATGGTCCCCAATTCTGGTTCAAGGAGCTGATGGCTAGTATTAGGAAGGAAGAAACTATGACCCCTGGCTGGCCTACGGCCAAAGCAAGTCAGCCAATATGCTCTTCTCTGTCTCTCTGGCGCAGAAGCTGGGGAGTAAAGGTCTTGTTTCCGTCAGCTTACACCCTGGAACAATCAACACTAATCTGGCTCGAGGAGACTGGAATGAGATGTTTGAATCACTCGGTAAGGTCCCTTATGTATGCATTTGTGCGAGGGCCTGCTGACATTATTCAAGCGAAATGGTTCACAGTGCTCGGGTACTTCCGGGGTGGGCAAAGAGAGATAACCTGGAAGTCTATGTCGCAAGGTGTGGCGACGCATGTATTTGCCGCATTTCATCCATCTATCTCCGCCAGTGGCAAGTATTCTCTATGTGCCGGTCATTCCTTTAAGCTAATCAAGTTCTGGCAGAGAATAATGGTAGTTTTGTTCAGGACTGTGCAGTAGTCAAGCCGGAGGAGGTCCGCAGCTGGGCCCGGGATCTGATCGAGGCAGAACGACTGTGGAAGCTGACTGAAGATATTGTTGGCGAAGCTTTTGAGTATTGAGAATGGTGAATGTGGTACATGGTGAGGTAGCGGAGAAGAAGTATTGGGCTAAACATGTACTTTCTCTGATGTTGATACGACTTTGGTAATTTGGCTGTGCTGTTCCTTTATAGCATCAACTTTTGTTCATTGCTTGAGAAACCCCGGCTTGTTGATACTTCGTGAGTTGTAATCCATGTTGCTATCATAGCATTCACCGTCAGTTGACGTCCGACTTGGCCTGCCCAAAGATAATAATGTAAGCGTGCTTTATGAGCTACTAAAGAACACAAGTAAAAAGTAGGACTGGACTTTCACATCCAAAGTCCTTCCAACCTATACTTCAGCACCTACCGCCAAACTCTGGGATAAGAAGCTGAACATCAGCCCATAAGATAAGGTGTCGGCCCACACAAACGGCCCGGGGAGAGATGTCAGCCCCGGAACAGGACTAGCGTACCACAACTCCGGTAGAGACCATCCGAGCCAATTAACATACATCATCTCTTCCAGTGACGCAGCAGGCGCGGAGGGTGACGGAAGCCAGCGTCATGGACTGGCTACTACATGCCTTTACCAGGATGCTATCCGGGAATTACGAGCATAGAGCCCATTGGGATGTCAGCCCACATCAACAATGGCCAGCTCCAGCCATCCAGTTATCCGTCTTAAATAGGAGCTGACCGGCATCACAGATCTCATCTCATCTAAGGTCACTTTACCAATTGTGAAACTTATACAAAATGCCATCGGATTCGAATGATCAGAGCATCTCCGCCTATGGAGCTGCTCGCTCCACGGTCAAGGGCCAAAACCTTGACCCCGAGGAAGTCCGGAAGATGGACGCCTACTTTCGCGCCAGCATGTACCTATGCTTAGGCATGCTCTACCTGCGCGACAATGTGCTGCTCAAACAGCCATTGAAGGTGGAGCATCTCAAGGCACGCCTACTCGGTCACTGGGGCTCAGATGCAGGACAATCATTCACCTGGATTCACATGAACCGGCTGATCAAGAAGTATGATCTGGACGTTCTCTTCATCTCCGGCCCGGGTCACGGTGCCCCTGGTATTCTCTCTCAGTCATACTTGGAAGGAGTCTACTCTGAAGTATACCCGGACAAGTCGGAGGACGAGCGAGGAATGCAAAGGTTCTTCAAGCAATTCTCTTTCCCCGGCGGTATCGGCAGTCACGCTACCCCAGAAACCCCCGGTAGTCTTCACGAAGGTGGCGAGCTGGGATATTCCATTTCGCATGCCTTTGGTACCGTATTCGATCATCCCAATCTCATCACCCTGACCATGGTGGGCGATGGTGAGGCCGAGACTGGGCCACTCGCTACAAGCTGGCACAGCACCAAGTACCTCAATCCCTGCACCGACGGAGCCGTTTTGCCCGTGCTCCATCTCAACGGGTACAAGATCAACAATCCGACACTCCTCGCACGTATCTCCCATGATGAGCTTTCTGCTCTCATGAAGGGTTACGGCTGGACCCCCTACTTTGTGGAAGGTAGCGATCGCGAAACCATGCATCAAGCTATGGCAGCTACGCTCGAGCACTGTGTTCTTGAAATCAGAAAATTTCAGAAGAAAGCCCGCGAGTCCAAGGAGCCCTTCCGCCCTCACTGGCCCATGATCATTCTGCGCAGCCCAAAGGGTTGGTCCGCCCCGCGCGAAGTTGATGGCAAACTTCTCGAGGGCTTCTGGCGTGCCCACCAAATCCCCATCACCGACGTCCTCACCAATCCTTCGCATCTCCAGCTTCTCGAATCGTGGATGAAGAGCTACAAACCCGAAGAGCTCTTCACTCGAGAAGGTCGTCTGATCTCTGAACTCAAGGCCCTCGCTCCAACCGGTAATTATCGTATGAGCGCCAATCCGGTGGGTAACGGTGGGCTCCTACGGCGACCGTTGGACCTCCCCGACTTCCGCAAGTACGCACTCACATCCATCGATCCGGGAGCTACCATCCGCGGCAGCATGGTCAACATGTCACACTACCTCCGTGATGTGGTCGCCTTCAACCAGACCAACTTCCGTGTCTTCGGGCCGGACGAAACCGAATCAAACAAACTCTCCGAGATCTACAAAGCCGGAAAGAAGGTCTGGCTGGCTGAATACTTCCCCGAAGATTCCAACGGGGGAAACCTCTCCATGTCCGGTCGAGTAATGGAAATGCTCAGTGAACACACCTGTGAAGGTTGGCTAGAAGGATACGTCCTCTCAGGCCGTCATGGGCTCCTTAACAGCTACGAGCCCTTCATCCACATCATCGACTCAATGGTAAACCAACACTGCAAGTGGATCGAAAAATGTCTCGAAGTTGAATGGCGCGCCAAAGTCGCCTCGCTGAACATCCTCCTCACCGCGACCGTCTGGCGCCAAGACCACAACGGCTTCACCCACCAAGACCCAGGCTTCCTCGACGTCGTGGCCAACAAGTCTCCCGAAGTCGTACGCATCTATCTCCCGCCAGACGGGAACTCCCTCCTCTCCGTAATGGACCACTGCTTCCGCAGCGCCAACTACGTCAACGTCATTGTCGCCGACAAACAAGACCACATCCAATTCATGGACATGGACGCCGCAATCGCACACTGCACCAAGGGCGTCGGGATCTGGGACTGGGCCAGTAACGACCAAGGTGCGGAACCAGACGTCGTGATGGCCGCATGCGGCGACGTTCCCACCCACGAGGCACTAGCCGCCACGGCGCTGCTGCGCGAGCACCTCCCCCAGCTGAAAGTGCGCTTCGTCAACGTGGTCGATCTGTTCAAACTCATGTCCAAGATCCATCACCCGCACGGAATGTCCGATCGGGAATGGAAGGCTATTTTCACAGCCGATAGGCCGATCGTGTTTAACTTCCATTCGTACCCGTGGCTTATCCATCGGTTGACGTATAAGAGACCCGGACAGGAGAACATTCATGTCAGGGGATACAAGGAGAAGGGGAACATCGATACGCCGTTTGAGCTGGCGGTGAGGAATCAGACCGATCGATATAGTTTGGCTGTCGATGCGATCGATCATGCCCGCGGACTGGGCAATACGGCGTCCGGGGTGAGGGAGAAATTCCTGAATATGCAGTTGCTGGCGAAGCAGAAAGCATACGATGATGGCATTGATCCGGATTATATTCGGAATTGGACCTGGCAGTATCCGCGGAAGAAGGGCGAGGGCGTCTGAACTGTTCGTGTGGGAGATTGGAGGGAGAATGGGCAGCTGTCAATAATCATAACCAAGTATTAATAGGTTCGTCGTAAGATCATATGATGGACTGTAAATTTAAACATGAAGTAGTGCTCGGTTAAGTTCACGGGTAGGAAAGCTGCCCCTTTTAGTAGTGTTAATAGTAGTTGAATGTTTATGACGGATGATATTGAGAAACCTAGTACTAGTAGTAGTAGTAGCGAGAAATATATGTCAGTGGTTGACCGTCGTAGTTAGTATCAGCCAAACCCCCACAACCCACCTATCGCAGCCATCGAAATTGCAAAGTTCCTTAAACTAACCGAAGTTCCATAGTGGTGTTACCTCCGTAGCTCCTTTAAAATGTTACAAGCTCATGCAAAGCGAAATATACATTCACTTTTACCTACGGAAGATGGAGGCCGACTCAGTTCGCAAAGCAAGCTTATGGCGTTGATACTGCTAAGATGCTGAGCAACCTATAACAAAACGGGCAAGATGGCCGAGCGGTCTAAGGCGCTAGGGTCAGGTGTATCTGATCTTCCATGTTCTTCGGAGCATTCCTAGTCTCGAAAGGGGCGTGGGTTCGAATCCCACTCTTGTCATAACTTTTTGCTTTTTTCAATATCTGCTCCTGTGTAGGACGCATATTGTGTCCATTCAGATATTTTGAAGCTCGCGACAATAATTGAAGAGCTTTAGAATTCCATTTTTTTAACAGTTTATTGTGAATAAAACATGTCGAAGAGAGATATGAGGAAGTACAAGATGTATTATATTAGAGCAACGATTATTATATTATTATACTATCTCAGTTGCCTCTGCATTCGCACGACAGTATGGGAAAAACGGATGACTCCGGCAAAAACCCATACCAAGGCATCTTGTGCGATGAAGTCAACTAATTAACACTTTCCTTCACATCATCACTGATTAAACATGGCACAGATAACAGGCGTTCCACCATACTCGTAGCTGACGCATGACACGATACCTGCAATATCACAGGAGCAATAATTAGGTAGGCAGTGTGCACTGCAGAGTCCAATTTGAAACCAAAGCAACACGAACCAGGTAATAGTAATCAAGTCCCATCATCACTCCTTGAAATAAAGAATCATGTTGTCCACAACGGCATCAGCGCCGTGTATGTTATCTCTGCCTGTAGCTCCGGCCCATTCGCCATTCGCGCCAAGATCAGGACCTGTCAGTTCAGTTTCGTGGCCCTCATGTCCACCAACATTGAAACCATCGGAATTTTTATTGGTTTTGAACCCGAGTCCGTTGACGAAGCCTTCTCCGTCTCCAGCATTGACCCACATATAATTTATTGTCTCATCATCCGCAAAATCATATGAATATGGTCCGTAAAGTGGGACGGCGTTATTCCTTCCGCCGATTCTACCGGTCGAATAACCGTCTTGGAATTCTAGATTGAACGCTCCAATAACTTCGTATTGGTTTTGATCCCCGTAATTTGCGGTCCATAAATCAACATGCTTGACTTTCTCTTCACCATCTCTGGCGTCGTAGGAACTGCCGCCCATCCCACCATAGGGTCCGTCTGCATGTAAGCCGAAGGTATTCATGGTGATTGAGATGCGGATGTTGAGCACAAAGGCTTAGGAGCTGGTTGGATTGTAATAAGAGGTAATCACATAGATAATTGGGAGCATGAGAGTTGGAAAGACGAAAATGGGTAGTCCAAAGGAGATCTTACACCCTTATATAGGCTTCGGTGGGGTTGATATTAAACAGACTCTAGTTTAGTACTTGGTGGCAATGCGAAGACTGAAAGTAAAAAGCATAGATATCTTCTTGCGTCAAGACTCTCTAACAAACACTCTGTGATGTGGTAGGCCTAATGCCAAACTGCATTAAAGCATCTCCAGCCAAACTCAGATGAAGCTCGATGCGTGTTCGTACGAGCTGAAGATACGTCTAGACCGCCGAATACACCTAAAGACCACAGGAAAGGGAAGATGTCAAAGCATCATCACTCCTCAGGTGACGTCCTTTATTGTCTAGACATGAGCCAGATAATGAAGTGAAAGCCTGCATTAGGCTGTCAATGACCTTGTGGTTATACACAGACATAGCTCTTTCTCTCCGAGCACCCGGGAAAAGGAAGTCAAACCATGTCTATGCAGAGCCATTAGAGCCATGATTTCCTTATGAGGGCGTTACACAAAGATATCATTTAGCAAAACTTGGATGATTCGTTGGATGTCGGACTTGTCCGCAGGGTATAATGTTGAAGATATAGCATGCTTGCGGAAGCACTTCCGCAATCGTTCAATTCCAGATGCATCAGAAACTTGGGAACAGTTTGCGCCATGAGCCATCCTAGACTGGACAGGCGACACGAGTTGGAGATGAAATATCAATTATTCAGATGTTAGTAAGACATCATCTCCTATAGTGCTTAGGCCATGCATCAGGCTCTGGGTCTGCGTTTTTATTCGCAGGAGCGTTGATTCATTTGTGTTTCATTCCAAAGCTATTTTATCTGGAGTCATTGGAGACTCGGAGACAAAGAAATGTGGCTTGTAGCAAAGCCCAACGTAGGCCGTCATAGTCCAGATGACTGAGCAAAAGATGGTTGTGAGGCCTATTATTGGGTCATTTATGCATTTACCCCACGGGCCGCATCTGGCCAACGTGCTAGCTACCAGGAGTTGTCAACCCTTGCCATTTAGTTCCATATGCACTATTGTGCAAATGGCGTACTTTGTTAGAGCGTTGTAAGGCTAGAATAGGAGCTAATTGTTTGGGAAAGTCATAGCACCAAATATATCGAAATTTCATGCAGTAGGTCAACTTGGCACAAATCTGCTAGTTTAGGTGGCATATTAGACACCTGTCTGTTAAAGCAATAAATGCGCTCAAGAGACAATGGACCCACTCATCGTAATTGCGGGGGCATCTGCAAAACTTAGAATAAGTCTAACAATGACCTCCAATACTTATTCCACCTACCCCAATAATCCCCGTCTGCGTATACCTCTACACCAGGTCGTGGTGCTTCACTGTAAGACTTGGTAAGTCAACTGATTGCACATGGCTATGGAGTCTCTATTAGAGCTTCCCATATCAATAGTAAGGAACAGAATGTGAGGTGAGAAGGCATGCTGTCATCCGTATTTGCAAGCCGTAGTATTAGATATGAAACCTTGACTAAACCCTATGCATGAATCACTGTCTTGAGAAAGATGACTACCATGTGAGCGATGTTGCAGTAGTGGAAAACCGTGACGAAGCAAGGACAGCCCCCAATATGCTGGGAGGCTGCAACCTTTACTCCTAAACCTTGTCACGCACCAAGGCTGCATCCATGACTAATGGCTTGGGAAAGTAACTTATTGCCATGTTTGGGAAATGTTGAGACACCCACATCTGCTATCCAGATAGACAAGGGTGCAAATGCTTGAGCTTTCCTATGACTACTACACCCAAGCGTTCAAAAGAGGCCATCATTCAAAGATATTCGAGGTAGGGTTTCTTCTTTTTTATTCTATTACGTTATCTATGGTGAGTATCTAGTTCAAAATAATGGGCCTCTGGAGGGGGTGGCCTCATTTCGTCCAAATATGTTTATGCCGTATATGCGTTCCAACACCCCGCTGACCCTTCGCAAGCCCAGAAGCGAGGCATCTCGAGTACCATTGTGGTGGACCATCCACCTGAACACTATAAGAAGTTGGGTCCCGTATAAGTCCGTGGTTGGGGTTGGACCGCCGCGTCAAGCGACTGTGTATAGATTGAAGCAATTCCCGGGCACTATCAGTGATGCGATGGTCGATGCCGTGAGTCCATCCTTCATAAGCCATCTCAAGTGACTAGTTCTAGTCAACAAATCGGCTTGTGGACTTCCGAGGGGTGTTTTCGAACTGGTCCCAGCGAGTCAGCGACTTGATCAACACATCGAGCTGGGACCTTCCTAACAATAACCGACGCTGTCATGAGTCTGTCCAGACCATCGCCTGACCAACGGTCCCGAGTTTACCTGTCGGACGACTGTGACACCTCCATTATTACTGCCCGAATCGTCAAACCCAGATGCCGTGATATTGAATCCGCGAGAGCCTGGGGATAATGGATCCGGATCGGAACTGGCTCCTTGCGCAATCTGGACCAGCCGGCCCAGGATAGCATATTCCAACTTCAGCTTGACGCTATAGGCGACAGGTTTAAACATAACCTGCAGCGCATAATACCCAGCGTACTCTATGGCGACGACTGCCACGTCCAGAATGAGAATGAGGACGTTGATCACAAGCAGTTGAGTGAGGATAATGAACCGTGGCCTCTCGGGACGAAGGCGCAGCATCTTGATGGTTTCCCACACATATATACCGGATAAGATAAACTCTTGGACGCAAAAGATGACAAGCTGAATCCGCTCCATGATGTCGTAACCCCTGGCGAAGTGGGGAGTACCTGATAGTGATCCATACAACAGGACTGTTGTTGGGATTTGGAGGACGATGCAGTCGATGATAATCATGTACAGGAGGCCCTGCAGCAACTTCTGCGATTGTACAAGGAGGTGCAATCGCGACCAAAGGACGAGGGAGTGACCAGTAACTATGCTAATCCAGGTAGGGATAATCAAAGACACAGGCACATAAGGAGAAATGGACGAGAAGATAAAGAGCAGGTATCCCACGCAGTGGGGGATGAGGCTCGCCGAGGTGACGAGTAAACTCCAGAAATAACACCCATGATATCTGTTGAAAGTCGTGAAACAAAGCACCACGAGCTCTATCGAATTGTAGAAGGTAATGGCCGCAAAGGCGGAGATGACATATTTCTGGATCGGGTCTTTTGAGGTGAGCGATGAGAAATCGCCGCCATCTGCGTCGATACCGACATCCTGCGACATCCTAGTCCCAATGTCGGTCGCATCGGCCAAAGAATCTCATACCGAACGTGGTGCTGGTGTCAAAAGCGACCATATAAGGCCTTCAAAGGAATGAAAGGAGAAGAGGTGCCGACAGAAGTTCTAAAACTGGCCGGGTGGCTGCGACTGTGCCGAGACCTCCATTCCTGACAGACTATTCTGTGCAGTACCGAGGCGAAAGCGTCATTCAGAGAAGACAGGAGAGAAGAGTTGGACAGGCTTGAAGGGTTTATTCTGAGAGAGGTGCCTCCGAGGGCTGCGAGTGGAAGCTTGGTTCATGCGGGTTGCGGAAACCTTAATGGCCGCCTCTGACGTGCACGACCCTTCTAGGCTTGCCAGTCAGTTTCGCACGGATACCTGATCGGAAATGACTACGAAGTTAATTATAAGGGCACGCCCGCGGCTCTACGATGCTGTGGATCCTATGGCAGCAGTCTGGAAGCTCCGATCGTCCTACAATCCAGTCTTGGCCCATTTGTCCATGGTGCTTCATGGAACCATCGACCAGGTTAGACGCCTCGGCAGATGGAAGTCTTAATAATATAAACCTTAATTGGAGTCTGCAAGCTCTCATTGGGTACAGAAACATCCGAACTATTGAAATCCAACTTTATCGGATCAAAGGAAGAATACTAACCACTATACACCCCCGGACCACCCCTGCGCCACGATTATCTAATGGGGTTCGATGCGAGCGAGGTCCCATCCCCAGATTGCCAAACAATGACGGGCAACGTTTGTAGCTCGCTGATTAGATGTAGACAGGTGGAAAACTACCCCACAGCATCTTTACAAATGGCAAGCGAACAACTGGTTGTTTGAGACATCTAACTGACTTCTCCCATTGGACATGATGTGTCTCATTCTTCAGCTCATGAATTGCATCGGAGTCCCTGCACCTCTGCATTCTCGCACAGTACATCTTCTCCAGTATAGTTCGCGGGAAGCTTGATGTTGATGTCCCGGAAAGTGAGGTCCGTACACGGTGCCTTTTCAGAACAAAGCAAAGACACGGCGAAGCTGATGTTCTTCCCCGGATAATCTGTCACCGTTGCGAGTCCATTTCCACTAATATTCATGAAATGTAGATCATTGAACTCATACGTCGACGTGTCACAGTACTGCGTGATGTTTTCGCTGAAGAGGTAGCTCAGACTGCCAGGGTTAGGCGAGTATGCTAAATGCGGTGGCATCACTCTTACCAGGTGTCAATATACACAGGTAATTGGACGTCCTTGAGTCGAAGGTTCTCGACTGTCACGTTGCGCACGTATCCATGGCCGCCTCCACCACCATTTGGAGGAACGCCATAGTTGACCCCAATCCTGACTGATCAGTTACCTATCGCATTGAGGGACGTGGTACCTACCAGCTTTTGAAGTAGACCCCGGAATTCATCGCCCGTTGAAAGGACGGTTGTACCTATACTTGTCAATGCGAATCTCATCATTATCGCCGGGCTTCGCTCACTTGAACATTCCGAACCGTCACGTTCTCCACAATATCCGTCCGGTCGGGGTATTGTCCCAGCGAACCAAAAGCAATACCCGGCCCGCCGTAAACCGTGACATTCTCCACATGGATGTTCGTAGAATTTCCCTTGAAAGCCACTGCATCATCTCCGCCTTGGTATATCCAGTTGGTGATGGTGATATGGTCGGACCGGTACGTATCGATCCCGTCCGTATTCTGCACCCACTCGCCCTCTGGGCTCACCGAGAAGTCATGGTTTGTGGCATTAACGTAAAAATTATCAAGGTTGATATGCGAAGAGGAATCGACAAGAACGGCCCAGAACTGGGGCTGTCGGATCGCCAGGTTACGAAGAGTTGCTCGCGTCGATTGGAACACATGCACTGGCATCGGTCGTCCAAAGACATTGCTACCTCCCTTGGCCCAAGTGTACCACAGCTGCCCATTCCCATCAACTCCACCTTGATGAGGACCTCCATCCACAACATAGTCATGGCCTGTGATACGCCAGGCACTTGACTGGTTCTGAAAGTCCACCCGATAGGAGTTGTTTACCCAGTAATCAATGTTATCGCTGAAGAGAAGCGTACCACCGATCTCAAGTCGGGAATCGGTCAGGTGAGTCGTCATCCGCTGGTTAATACGGTAGGTATACGGCGCAGGGAGGATAATTATCCCTCCAGAGGTCTGACCGCATTGGTCAACTGCCGATAGGATGTTGGGGACGTCATCCTGCCCGTTTCCTAAGGGGATTACGGTGCAGGTAGTGCCATTCTTCTGGAGAGAAGGTATGGCCGAAGCAGCCAGACTCAAGCCTGCAAAAATGGCAAGACCACTAGTTGACAAATTCACCATTTTGGTCCTTAACCTCGCTTGTCTTGACAGCCGTCAGCGGTGCAGCACAGATTTTGCTGGCAGTCCCAATGACGGGTTTTTATTACCGCGCCGTTTGCGGATTGAGCCTAATTTCCGTGGTTATTGGGAGGGGATGTCAGGAGGATCGGCGCCCATGCGGAGGCACCATACGACGTGATTTGTTCAGGCTGAAGAGTCAAGTAACCCTCGAAGACAACAAGCAGGATATGAGATCGGATTTGCTCCGGCATTGATTGACAGCGATCGAGAAGCCACGCAGACGGAAGTCGCGGGCATTGTATCGAGTATATCACCAATTGCACAGCTGCTCATCTACAAACCTGCAGCTATTTCATCAGCGATACATTCTTCGGACAGATGGCTTTGAGGTTTCTGGGGCGAGTCATTAGTCGACCTTTCTCGTTCAAGCATCAGGCAGGTAAAGAGGAGGCACTCCGGCAGATGTATGCCAAGGGATGGAGAGTGCAGAACTTCCTTGACTAGGTTCTTACAGGTTGGATGACATGCAGGAATGCGGATCATTTACGTTTTGAGAACCCTGCACGGTGTAATTCATACCGAGGATGAGTTTTGACACCTTCTCGTCTCGAGCACATCCATTAGAACAGGTACTCCGGTCGGTGTATCGTCAGTCATGATTTCTCAGCACTCACATCATACAGGCATTGATTCGCATATTCAAAGCTCCCACAGCAAGCGCTAGGCACTCAGTACGGTCGGACTTCTCACTAAATACTCTCACTAAACATTATCGAGTAAAGTGCTGCGAGACATTGGCTAGTCGCAGCCAGTTGCGTCCATTCGGCGGTGCAGAGCTCAGCATGCCAGGCCTATCCTCAAACATCTGGCTGAGCAGATGATGGCTCTCCAGCTACAACAGCGACCCGAGGATCATTGGGGGACCACCCAAGAGTGCTTCCAGAACCGGCCCGGCAACCTATCCCAGCGACGAGAACACAGTGTTTGCAATTATACCGCGGTCGCCTCGGCATCAAGTCCCTTGGGCGTATTGTGTGAGACTAAGTGTATCAAAATCAGTTTCGGCGGCCGCGGCCGGAGCAGCTCTTAGCTTGGGGCTACTGTACTTACCTTGCAGACACTATCCATTCCTTCGGCTTAAATCCGGTGCAAAGCCACAACATCGGACTTCATTCTCACAACTGCATCGACAATAGCAGACAGGGTCCACTTCTAATGGGTCGAGTCAGCAATTAGTGTTTACTCATACCTGCTGCCATCATCATTCACCGGGCCCCGCCCCCAATCCTAGTCTCAACGCCCTGATGCTCACGTCATCCCTATCCATAGTCTAGTAGGCACGGCATTCAAAACGCCCAATGCGGAGAATTGCACGATTGTATGCATTGAAAATCATTTATTCCGCTCTTGATTAACTGTCCGCAAGCCAGATCCTTGTGGGTATAACAAACAGAATGAAACACACGCCCAATCTATCTCGTCCGATCAACAGATATTATCATTACACGTATCATATTAGCAAAGAAATGTCGCCCTGGGGCTAGCGTCGAGTGCCTCCAGATCCGACGGATCCGGGATTCCACGCACTAGACCAGACCTTGGTCTCGACGCCTTGCTTGGGGCCGTTAGAAAACGGACACGCCGACCGTTGCGCATATTGCGTGGGGGCTGAAATTGTTGGTGGGGATGGAGTAGTCTCGAGAGATGACGTTTCCGAAAAGAGACTGGCAAATTCGGAAGACGATGTAGAGCTGGCTGTCGAAGTCTTGACGCAAGACGATCCATCGGCCCGCAGATATGTCGAGCTGGGCTTAGGTGTGACTTGGGGAGCGGCTTCTTGTTGCTTGTGCGAAGACTCAATCTCTTCCTCGAACTCTTCCCCGTCATGAAGACGCCATCGCGCAAAGAGATCGTTCTGAATCCATATCACCTTGCCTAGGGCTCTGACTAGCGCTATGCGGAACGGCAACGTGAGCTTTTCGTATGTCAGAACTGCCTCCATGACGATGTCTTGGATGAAGCCAAGGCAGGCGCCGATATGAATGTACTCGACATTCAACGAGTGCAGCCGTTCCTTCCCATAATGCATGCGCCTGGAACAGCCGGTTAGTCTCGTGGTCCAATACAAAGGAGGGGGATGGCATACCCGACTTGGTTCAAGTATCTCCAGAATTCAGGCTTGGTTGGATCGGAACATAATTTCGTCATATACCAGCGAAGAAATTGACGGCGACGCTGAACTGCCGGGCTATTGAGGGTAGGATAGTCGTCTGGTTCTTCTTCTATCGCAGTGTTCCGAGTGCGGAAGACACGCGCCGTGATGTCAAACTCTAGAAGTTTCACATACACCTTATCCACCACGGTAGGAGCTAGGGCCTTGACATATTTGGCGCCCCGGACGAGAGTTGCGACATCGTCTGTATTCACCCCAAGTTAGTCAAGTGCGTTGTTGCCGCGGAGAATCAACTTCCGCGGAAAAGTATTGAATGAAGATAAACAGCCTTGTGGGGAAGACCGGGGACGCTGGGGGGCACCAACCGGCATTAAAGTCAAGGAATCTCTGCAAATAATCGATCCGTGCCTCTAGATCGGTGTACAGGGCTTTGCGATCGACGTGCCTCGGGTGGTTTTCTGCATGGTAGCCGGGTTCAGACATGGTGCAAGCTGGGGTGAAGACACTGGAGCTGAAGGAAGAGAAGGAAACCGGCGGAGGTGGGCAGGGGAGTCATTGAAATGTTCTTCCAAGAGAATGGCCCCCGACACACGGTCGAACAGGTATATACCCTGCCATGCCAGATAAAAAAAAAAAACCTGACATGTTGCAGATTGCGACCCCTCAGGCCGTGAATTGGGAAATAACGACAGCGAATCAGTGGGGCGGCTGAAGTGATCAGTTGGAATTTTCGGCTCCGCTTCGTCTGTCATCGATTGCTCAATAGTAATCGCCCCTTCTCCCTGCGGTCTCCTTAATACTGATCGACCACTCCACCCCGGTCCTTGCTATCCCCACGAGCCGAGACTTGGGGGGTCGACATCAACCTGAGACCTGCTCGGTCTCCATCCATAGCAGCTGTCAGACCTATGAGTGACTTGCCGGCGGCCGATCAACACAATGAAGGTTTAGCTAGCTACCTTCTAGCCGATGCTTGTAATTGTGCTGATCAGCCCTCAACGATGGCCGCCGAATCTCATCTCACGTCACAATGCTACAAGCTCGATGCATTCCCGCAGCTGATGCCTAAATTGGCCCTAGTGTGTCAAAAATTTTCCGGACCAGTATTCGATTGGTTCGTCGTCGGCAATTGATGGGGAGATTACGCTTCGCCCGTCCACGATGGAGAATTGTGGAGCGCCGTCCCGCCAGTTTGCCGTCAACCAAAAAAATGGACAGGCAGGGCCTTGCAGATTCCAATGACAAGTCGTCGAGGCGAGCCTTAAGCGATGGTTGCATGATCCTCAGACGACCTGGAACACCGGACCGCGCACCTTCTCTGCAGGACACAAGACACTCATCATTTTTGGTCTGGACTTTCATTGGGGAGGCTGGGAACCACGGAAAGACATCAACTAGCGGAATAACGAAGAAGCGTGCTTGGTCTTTTCCGGTCGACACACCGACTTTCTGTGCGGATGGTGCCCGTTGATGGTGGTTGGTGGTTGTTTCCAGAGAAAAAAAAAAAAAGATAGGGGGACCACTAACAGCCTCATCTATTTAGACCATGCTAGGTAATCCCCGGCAACCAGATCGATTTGTTGAATTATGCCATCGTCATCTGTTATCGGGCATTGCCCAAGCAGGCATGTAGTACCCCAAACTCTACCCCACCGGATTGCAGAAAGCACATCAAGGTCTCCGATCAGTCACCTGCATCCTCATCCTTCATTTATCCCATACAGGGGATTATCTCTAAATGGCCTTGAGCTCCGAAGGAACTACTAATGGTGACAAGTTTGGACTCGAGCAAAGCCCGTGAACCCCTTTTAAGGTCCTCACTAGTTTTTAAGACAGGCCCGCAGTCCGATACGAGTCAACGATAGTGGAGTCGCCTCCCTTTTATTTTTTGTTGTCTCCGCCACCTTATTCTTCCGCCATTAACGCCAATGAGACTCATCACGAACCTCAAAAGGGGGAACGATGGGGAGCGGACCTGATTAGATTGACCAGGGTTTTTGGTAAATAAGCTTTAATCAGTTGATAGATGAATCTTAATCTAATTGATTAAGCCTGACTCAATATCTTGCCATTAGAAGGTACCAGAAGGGAAGGGAGAGGTGATGTATACACTGGATGGAATAGATAGCGAAAGTTCAACAAACAAAACGATCGACACATTATTCAGCCGAAGCGAGATGTCAAGTTCCAAAGGATAGGCACGGGACTGAAACGTGACCTGTCACACGCCTGAAACTCAAAACCAGCAAGTGTCAAAAGTGGCTCTGACATCACGACCCAAACTCTCTTGCTGTCTGTCACAATTAATCCTACCTGCCATCCCATCCCCACGCTACTTCTTCCCGTCCTTTCCATCCATCCATCAATCTACTACTTCTAAGTCTAGACGCCATCCTACGCATCCATCACGAATCCATCTACTCCAACCTCACTAACTGATCGACAATCAATCAAATTAAATCTATCAACAATGATCCTCAGACGAGCTTCCACTCTCAGTCGTCCTGTCGTCCTTCGTCCGGCCTATTCCGCCCGCGTGTGCTACTACCATCCGCCCGACGTACATAGCACCAAGGGAGAGGAGTGTACGTTTGCCACCCACATCCACCTCTATCTTCACCATCAAAGAAGAAAAGGAAGAACTAACTGCCTTAGTCTTCATCCCCCCTTCCTACCCAGACAACTTGGAGGATACTCCCAGTCTCGTCAAAAAGCCAGAAAAGGACATAGGCCACTGGGAAGAGATCCATGCTACCTCTAGTGAGACCTCGGTGCGTTCATCTTCCCCTACCCTTCGTTGTCAAGGTAAGGTAAGTGGGTTATGAGAATCGGCTAAGGCACAACCAACAGGTCAAAGCCGACCGTGGCGATATCAATATCCAGCAGCAGCAGCGGACGACTACTCGGGATCTAGATAAGGATCTAGGGGAGGAAGAGCCGCCGAAGTTGGATGAGATGTGATATCAGGGAGTTGATCATAATGTCTGATAGGGTTATGGATGGGTATTGGTATGGGTATATGAGTTATGACTGCGTACTGAGAATGTGTTTTTGAGCTGTTCTGTTCTTCATTTCGGTAAGGTGAAACAGACTGTCTGTTATTTAAAATTGGTGAGTGGGTTTTTTTCTTACTGTCTTTTTCTATTTATGGGTGTATTACTGTGTCGATCGCTCGTGCCGATCTTTATGTCCTTCGTTTGCTTTCTATTTCTATCTATCTATCTATCTATTCGGCGATAGTTAGCCGATTGTATGACTATGATATCGAGAAATAATGACATGACATGATTCATTCGTTCATTGTAGATAAGTAGTCCGACATTATAATACCCAGATCTAGAAACAAACAAACAAACAGATAATACTTCTATGCATGCTCTACTTGCTGCACTGTGCCCTCGACCTTCTGGTCAACGCGAGCTTCCAGCGCATGCTGCCCCGGTGTAACAGTACGTCCACCCTTCGAGGTAAACACACCTCCGGTGATTCCACCCTTGTGGAAAAGCAAGGGGATATCCTCGAGCTCGAGGCCCTTGGTCTCCGGGTAGAAGAAGTACACCATGGGGATGAAGACGGCGTTCAATACCGCAAAGATGACGAAGGTGCGCCAGCCGATGTTGTCTACACACGTTGTATGTCAGTATGACTTTCCTGATGGTCCTTCAAGAGCCGCAAAACCTACCAAATGCAATCGGAGTGATTTTCACCACGGCAAACACGGCCATCCAGTTCCATCCGGACGCAATGGCCTGCATTCGCGTCCGTACTCGCGTTGTGTTCAGCTCGGCTGGGTAGAACCACGGGACCGGTAGCCAGCCGACGCCGTAGAAGATCTGGAAGATGAAGATGAAGACGGTCGCTCCGTAGGCACAGTCCTCGCGGTCTAATGAAAGCAAAATCGATACCATAACAAAGCACAGACACAAGCCCGCTGAGCATACCATTAACAGGGTACGTCGGCCGTATCGGTCCATCAGAAACACCGGGATTGCCGAGCCGACCAGGTAGGTGCACTGCATAGCTCCGCCGAGGATAAGCGACAAATTCCGACTCATATTCATGGTTTCTTGGAACATGACAGGACCATAATAATTTATCATATTGCTCCCAGTGAATTGTTGCCCTAATTCAATGGTGATGGTGATAAAAAGACGTCGGAGGTTCTGTACCTCGCCCCAGGTGAACAGCTCCTTGACGCGGAACGGACCGTCCTTTTGCTCCTCCTCCAGCACGAATTGAATGTCCATGATGGTCTTGACGACATTTGCATCGTCGATGGTAGTATCTTCGATGGCAGCAACCACAGCGCGGGCTTCATCGTGTCGGTCGTGTTGGACCAGCCAACGAGGACTTTCGGGGAGACCGACCACCTGCAAGATGAGGCATACGGCGAAGACGGCCTGGAAAGCGAGGGGGAGGCGCCATTCGTAGGAGGAATCAGTAAAGCTGGTGCCGTAGTCCATCCTACACAAATTGACTCTCTGTCAGATTTGGGCTTTGTAAAGGAGGTGGGGGGCGTGTAGGGGGGCGGCATAGGACAGTCTCACCAGTAGGCGATCACCACGCCCAAGATAGTAACAGTTCCCTGCAGTGTGAGCAGGGTACCACGGTATGCTGCTGGAGAACATTCACTCTGGTAGACTGGGGCGGTGGAAGAGTTCATTCCGTTTCCCAGCCCGGTAACGATTCGGCCGACCAGCAGCTGTGCTATTGTGTAGGAGGAAGCGAGGATGACGGTCCCGATGATCATGATGAACCCGCCCATCATCAGCATGGTTCGTCGACCCATTCTCTCGCCGATGAAGTAGCAGATGATGGATCCGATCACGCAACCGATATCGTAGAGACCGGTGATATTTCCCTGCATCGCTGCGTCGGGGTTGTTGAAGTCGCGGGCGAAGCGATTATCCGCGCCCACAATGCCGGACATGACACCTACAAACCCCATATCGTTAGCCCCCATCAATCCCTATCCAGAAAGCTATGAAGAAATCAACAAACCTTGGTCAAACCCCAGCAAGAGAAAGGCCTGGCAAGAGGCCATGGTGATGGCAATGATCAGGGCCCTGCCCCGAAAGTCATGTTTCCAAAGACGCATCTTGACCGTCGTCGATGATGACTCTAGTACATACCCGGATGGATAGAACTGGACAGGAAGGGAATGAAAGAAAGGACAGGACAAGCTCAATTAAGCATTTGGATCTCGCTGGACAACAGTCGGTCTAATACACCCGAAGCCACGACGGGAGCTCCTGCAGTCCAGCTGCCAGCAACTCGCCGTGGATTATCCCGAGCAGGGCACGTCTAGTCCGGCTGGGCAGACATTACCGATGGCTGGCCGGGTCTTGATTGGCCCTGATGGATAGGCGTGGTCGGGGGATCATCGTGCCGAATTGCGGGGTACCCCGTGGGAAAAGGGTTCCCTGACTAATCGGAGTTGCTTGAATGGAGTTCACCGCTGGATGTTCATGACTCTCCACCGGAGGAGGGTACCGGTAGTTCAAGGAGTAGAGCTATCAACCACGGTTATGACATATGCAAAATAAAAATGGGTCGGGGAGTATGCTGGAGGTAGTTGCATATCAGTGAAGCAGCAGGGACCAGGATTCAGGGGCCTCGTAGTAGCTTTGCTTCAATATGGCAGTGGCTTTTTCAAGGGGTAGAGTCGCTACAATAAAGCCATGCAAAGAGATAGTAAAAGACCGTAGTGGTAGTTGTGCTGGCTACGGTGGTGTTGTGTTGTCCTCGAACGATGTGTTTTGGTTTACCTGTTTAAGATGGCCGTCAACAATGGCGCCAGTCAGTCTTTCGGGCTCTCAGGGTTCAGAATCGCCGGTCGAAGGAGCCTGGGGGTCTTGAGCTCTAAATATTAAGATAATAAGGGTATAGCTCTCGGACCTGCTCCGTGACTTCAAGCACTTACAACGACGCTCCACTCTCTTTTCCCGGTCCGGCTTGACACTTGCTGGTCGTTCATGACAGTAGCAGTGTTGCCGAAAGCCAAGAGAGCCTTACAGTAGCGTGCTTGGAGTAACTTCAGCGCTATTACCTAAAGCTGCTTCTCATGTCTCTCTCACCTCGGCAGTCCTTGTCGCTGCAATGAAGGTGTCGCCTAATGCCTATAGCAGCTAAGATGATACGCAAATGAATGTCGAAGAACAATGTTGCGGCCTAGGTGTGTCCACACCAGATGTGACAATGGTATTATGAGTTCGGTCAAGAAGTGAAACCCGATCGGGACTGATTATATACAGAAGACAAAAGTAGTCACTTCAGAAGAGCGTTTAGCAGCTCTCCTCAGTGCTGTCAGAAGAGGTATCAACAGTGATAGTGGCAGACCCGCTGCTCTCGTATCCCTCGGTGGCGACGATCATGTAGTTGAAGGTACCAAGCTCCAGACCAAGGTTCTCCCAGGCATCGAAGTGGTTCTGAGTGGTGACAGTTCCACCAATACGGCCCTCAGTGCGCACGGACCAGTACTGCTTGAAGGTGGCAGTGCCCTCGATCGAGTCGGCGTCCTCACGGGTGGTCTGGTAGATCTTGTAGGTTCCGTCGTCGCTGTCGACGGTGCCGAGCTCAGTCAGGCCAGAGGAGGGGTCGTAGTCACCGTACTTGTCGACGATGTAGAATTCGACCAGGGGAGAGGTGGTCCAGCCGTAGACGGACAGGTAGGCGTTGGCGTCGGTTTCCCATGATCCGCTGTAGGTAACGGCCCTGAATATATGGTTAACACCCTATATTCCCAGAACAGCTGTGGAGATGTCCTTACTGAGCACTGCCAGGGTTCCAACCCTTGCCGGCCACGAAGTCACCACAGTCGGTCCACTCAACGGTGTATTCACCACCGTCGCCGTTTGTGTAGGTCACGTCGCCCTCACCGTTGGTCCAGAAGGAGTAGAAGTAGCCGTTGCTCTCGCCTTCCGCGGAAGAAGTAAGGCTGCGCTTGGCCATGTCCAGCAGGGCCTTGCCATTGGGGAGAGCGACGGCGCTCGAGGCAGCCGAAAGAGCGAGGAGAAGAGACGAGTAGGCGACCATGATGAGGTACTTATAAAGAGTGACGATGATTGTTCGGTGTGCAATGGAAACGGTCGGGGAAAGAGCGTGAGTTGCAATGCAGGAAACTGGTTCCGCGACCGTCCTTATATGAAGGCGAACAGCAGATTTTCTCCAGTGCGATGCTCCATCTAAAATGCAATCGAGCTCAAGCGTGAGCAGGGTAGTGCGACACTCATTGTCCTGTAGTTGATTAAACCGGCTGCCCTGGGCCCCTGGCGGTGTTCCTGGACAATCTTATTCAAGGCCGTGGTGTTTCAAATTAAAAGTGGGTGCCACTCCCACCCACTTTTACTCTTCGGCGCTCCGACCGAGCCAGCCCTCAGCATCGACCACTCACCAACGCCCATTGAGTCATGCAGACACAATGAAAGGTGCTGACAGGAGGAATAATTGGGCCTCGTGTGGAATGTGGACTCGGCCGTTTTCCCCAGCAAGAAGATCCGCCGATATTGCCGGCGTCGTTGGACTCCTCTCGCACACCACACACCTCCACCAACCCTGCTAATGAACGCCTTTTTTAGCAACAATGTCGCCTTAGCGCCTTTTCTTGTTCTTCATGGTCTGAATGCTGAAGCCCCTAGGTGGTCATAGCTAAGATATGCAAAGAAATGGGTTCACCAAGAGTCCCGGCAAATTCCGCTCCGACATTGATACAGCCGAGAGGTTTTGTACAGAAAGCCAACGTTGTGAATTCGATATCAGATGAACAACAATCGCACTTATTGCATGACTTTGTATCATCTATTCAACAAGGCGCTGCGTGTCTATCTTTGATGCAGTGACACCATTAGGTCGATGTGAAGTAAGGACTCTGCCTGTCATCTTGAGGAAGAGGGAAGAGTCCTATCGGGCATAACCAAGGAATCGAGGACTGTATCAGTTGTGGGTCTAAGATTCTTAGTAGCATATAAGTTCACCGGGGCAAAGTAGCTGCCACTCTGGAGCTTCCAGTCGGATGCTCCTGCCGATTAGCGTGTCAATAGTGCGCGCAGCATCCGTCCAGGGGCATATTGCAGTACCCCTTCTTCCTAAGGAACGGGGCTGTTTTGCCAAATCCTTGTTGCTAGGGAGAATCATTGAGTGTAGGCACCACATCTGCAGAATAGCGTACTGTACCTCAGGTTCTCGCCGCAGCTGCATCCATCATTCTAGCGAGCTTCAGCTTAGAAATTCGGAGCTAGTCAGTCAATAACAATGACATTCTTGCCATTCGACTTTCCGGTCAAGTACTCCTGCCTCATCTGCTCTGCCTGATCCAGCTTCCACTCCTTGACCTCCACGTGCAGCTTGTTCTCGTGGAACAACTGAATGAACGCCTGCGCATCAGCTGTGTCGGCAATTAAGGAGCCTACCAACGTGATGTCCTTGTAGATGACCGTGTGGTATGACATGGTTATCCCCTTTTCGGGCTGACCAAGCAGGACCATCGTACCGTGCTTCCGTGTAAGGGCAGCCGCTAATTCGAAGGCCGACGGATGATCCGTGGCTAGGACGGTCGCATCAAGGCCTGAATAGTCGCTAGACATAGCCTTGTTGATCTTCTCTTGGGACTCTTCCACTTGATTTGTGGCCAGAATGGATACGTCAGGCTTGTGCTCGTAGGATGCCACTGCATCCAGAGCTGACTGCTTGGCATCAATTGCCGCTACTTTGTAGCCCTGTTCGAGGTCGTTATCATCTGTATATCTCTGACTTAACCTCAGTTTATTTGTTGTCTTACCATGCACTTGGCAACCTGGGTACCAATATGACCTAGACCTCCAATCCCGACAATGCCAATAGAGCCGCCTTGGGGCACATTGGCCCGGACAATGCCACCGTAGATGCTGATCCCGGCGCACATCAGAGGTGCTGCCACTTTAAATTCCATATCATCTGGTATTTTCACCACAAATCGAGCATCCCTGCATGTAGAATTAGACAGGAGAATACTTATTATCGAATGATTCAAGGAGCATTACCCACGCGACCATGTATTCGGCCCACGCTCCATCAGCAGTGATGCCCTTCATCATAGGGGCATCGCAATAGATAGGACGACCAGCCTTACAATCCGAACAGTTTCCTACATTCCGCCCCAATAAAGGCCGATTTAACATTGCTGCCACTAGACGACGACATCTACCAAATCCAGCCGTACTTACCACAGACACTGTCAAAATTGATGCAGCCGACACGGTCGCCTTTCTGGAAACCTGTGACCTGAGAGCCAACTTCCTCAATTATCCCCGCCGGCTCATGCGATCCGATAAATGGTAAACGAGTTTTGAATTCACCGTTTAGGGCCATCAAGTCGGTATGACAGAACCCAGCAGCCTTGATGCGTACTAATACTTGATGTGGCTTTGGGTGAGGAACAGGCACCTCGGACACATGGTATGGCTCGTTGTATTTTTGGATTTGGATCGCTTTCATTGTTTTCGATACCATGTTGATCAGCAAAGGGTCTAACCAGTGACTGAAAATTAAGTACTGATATATGAATGAGATTCTTGTCTAATCTAGATGCTGCTGAATGGAGGGTTGCCAAAGGATTTATTGACATCATCTTACCAATCAATCCGTCGTTCCCCAATTTGGGGTAACCCGCCGCGTATCTGACAAGCCAAGAACATCCTCGGTATCGGGCTTCGGGGAAAATCAGAGATGGAACGATGTTGTTAATTTAGGGGGGAATGTGCAGAGAGGGATTAATGATGAATTAGAAAAGAAAAGAAAAGCAAGACTTTTAGTCCCACAAGCACATTGCGAAGGTGAAAAAAGAAAAAGAAATGATTGAGCTCCGATAGGGGGAATCGAACCCCCGGCTGCCGTGTGAGAGACGGCGATGTTAGCCACTACACCATATCGGATCTTGCTGTATGTCTGACATACTTTTTAACACTATAAGGCCTTTGCTAATGTCTCATCTCATCTGTCAAATTGTCGGTTTTGATGTCTGCAACATGAATTTCCGGGCTTGTCGTTGCATGAGTAAGATCAGCGAACCAATTCCAAATTTGATATGGCTCTCTTCCATCGAAGTTTTCGAAAAGTGTCTTTCCAATTCTCATCTTAATGTTGAGTCAAGAGATTGGGGTTACCCATAACGGTCTCCCGATGAAATATATATCGACCGCCAAATGAGTTATTAGCTACCACTTCATTCATGCCATACTACCACATTGACAATGACAAAATACCACACTACCACATACTACTGGAAGACCAACCTTTCTACACGAGTAGTGGGAATAAGCACAATGTCGAAGCATAAGCTACTCCCCTAGGGCCCCAATAACCGGGCACAGGAACACCGGGTACTTCGTTCATTACATCCAGAATCGGCGGTCATGTGGTACTCTCAATGCGAAGGTCCTCCCCCCGGGGGCGCATGGTGTGCCTTCCACTTTCGGGTAAAAAGCTGGCAGAGAAGATGACTTAAACAAGTAGTCCATATAGAAATTGACCTGCATGGACGCGTCACTCTTCTCCTAGTTCGATCTACAACCGGACTTAATCAGACTAACCCTTTGGAATGCCGTGCGATCCTTCACCTGCAGATAGACGTCCGTGGGGTATGCAGGCACACAGACTGAATCCCATGCAGCAAAGCATGGGGTTAATTCGCTTAGGATACATACACCGACACTACTGCACCTCCCCAGCACTAACTGTCGTTCGGCCGAGTCTATAAAACGTCTCGTAATGCTCTAGACTATCCAACTACGGTGGTCACGAAGTGCTCCAAAAATCATCAGTGGGTCATCTGATGAGACAGAGTCCGGAGAGGCAGATATGTTTAATCCGGTAATGCCTATCGCGTCGCTACTACTGGTTGTTGATAGGTGGACATGCATGCGATTCATAGACTCTCGAAGCACCTCCGGCCATGTGCTGCAGGAATACGAGGGAAATGCAGCAATACACAACTTAGCGGCCTCTATTTCGGACAAAGAACGAGTAAAGGATGCGGAGAATAATCTCAATCGTCTGCAGGACGTCGGGCAGATGGACATGGAAATCATGCAGGTATAGAAGGCGGCATGTACATGAGATATGGGGACAGAACTCGCATGAACGCCTCATTATCGCTTGCCAATACCTCACATGCCTTGGAGTTCCGATGGAACTCACAATGATACGTTGATTAGGTGCTACCTGCATGTCGAGCCAAACAACGTACGTGTGAATTCGATCGTTCTGAGCAGCGATAGCCGAGCCACCACCACACATCACTCGCTACCTCCAAGTGCATATACGCTATCTGAAATACATGCCGCAAAGACATTGTGGAGGCTGGCAGTCCGAACACCATATGTGGGAAAGAGTCGTCATGCAGAGGCGGCATATAGGGAGAATGCGGTTGGTAAAGAGAATTTCCCCTCACCAACCCCCACTGGCGGGTGAATACCATATAGCCCGTCTGCAAACATTATGTCGATTATTTACTTCGTTTGGTTGTTTAGACAAACTCATGCACGGTCCGTCAACCAAGATGTGTGGCCGGTGGAGCTTTCGCAAACCCGACCCCAATCGGGTAAGCGCGATATCGGCGTCCCAACTTCAGGTACCAGACGAGAAAAAGACACATTCTGACCAGGCAACAAACTGCCCAGAGTTGTCATTGCTCTGCGATGTCATATCAAAGATAAGAATTGAGTAACCAGAGCCCACTACTAGAACTTGGCAAGGCGATCAGTGGCTCAAATTCACGGCTTCCCCAGGGTTGCTGGGATCTATAGTTTAGTTCGGAAGATGTGGTTAACAACTTTATTTTCTAGGTCTCCCGTGCTGAAAAAGAAGTCTGACGAAGAGGATGAGACAGTTACCGCAATGTGCTCCATACGATACCATAACCATGCGCCACCAAACCAGTCCCTCCCCTCTGACATAGTATTACAACCAAGTAGTTAGCTCCGAAATCCGCTTTATTTGCTCATGCGTACTAATATACGCATCATTGTTGATTTAATTCCATCATTCAGGGGTCTGAGCATGATCAAGAGGCTTCAGATCAGTCATCTGTGCGTCGCTACAGACTCCGTCTCGACCTAGATCCACCGCTCCCCACCCCCACAGCATCCTCCCTAGCGTCCGCGTTGAGGGCCCAATAAGATCCAGCGGGAAATAACTGGTAAAGTCCACCTATGGAAAGTGACGAGTTGATTTCACATATCGGAGACATCGCTTCTTTGGGACGATGATATGCGGTCCCTGGCTCCGGAGGTCGCAAGGAAAAAAGGTCCCATGTGGGGGGTCAGGAGGTACTGTCCACTGAGAAGTCAGACACTCATCAGCATGTAATTGATAAGGAAATCATCTACATTGCAGAAGAGATTGAGACCTCGGCTCCACTGATGATCAGTCCAGCGAATTTCCTGGCGAGTAACATCAACAGAGACCCGTCTCTGGGCCGCAGAGAGACGGATAGAAGCCGCGCAACTCAATCTTTTTGCCGTGAGTCGGAAAAGTGATTGCCCAACGACGCAGCATTCGTAGATCCTTACCTCCGAGCAGCCGTGTCCGAGTTCCTGGTTACTGAGCTATATAAGAAACGACATGTCCTCTCCTTGCCATTGAGATCATCTAGCGACGTTCTTCATCCTCAGCATCTGTCTCTCTTTCGCTGCGTCCTTCCTTTCCTGGTTGAGTCCTCCACCACATACCCGGTCAAGATGAAGGCTTTCAGTCAATCGCTTCTGGCTCTCTCGCTTGCATCAGTGGCTGCAGCAGCAGCAGCTTGCAATACATCAGCATTGAACACGACCACTTATAATTATTATATCACGGTGGATGGCACAACAGTCTTTGATGTTGCACGTGCCACCAATCGCGGTGTTTGTGACATCGGCCGCCAGAACCTCATGGCCGATGTAACTATTGTTCCCAATGTGGGCGAGTACTTCATCATCCCTCCCGAGGTGTGCGAGCCAGACAATACATCCTGTCTCTTGCCAAACATCAATGCTACACGCACCTGTATCTACGGCGGACCTCGTCTCTACTACACCGTTCGGGGAGACACCTACGAAGTGATTGCCCGCCGACTGAACATCACGGTGGAATCACTGATGCACGTGGATGGGCCTGCAAATGAGACGTTAACCAACCCTACTTCCCCAACGGCGGAGTTGGATGTTGGCCAGTTTATCAAGGTGCCTCAGTGCGATCCTAGCCAGTGTATCATCCAGCCTTACGTCTTCAAGTGGGGCGTGTACAAGGACCTTGCAGAGAAGTACGGCACTACAGTGGGCCAGATCATGATGATGAGCCCGACGTACAACTACAGCAGTCTGGCTTTCTCGCCTGAGGGCATGTACCCTCCGATCAACCTCCCGATCAATTGCACGGCATTGTCGAACAACATGACTACCCTTGATTAGTTTTCTATGGAGGGCGGGGGATGTGTCTTTTTATTATGTCTTTTATGATTTATCCTGGTGATGTGCTGCCTTGCGTGGAAGGATGGGACGTGCTGTGGACTGCACTAGTGGAACAGATGGACAGGATACCAAACATGCTGCAAGGAAATACGGAAGGGAAGCATGTATTTCTCAGATCAATAGTTATCAACTGGATCATGCATTGCGGACCGACACTGTAGCCATCTTCCTCGTAACTAACCTTTGCTTGTCTCTTTAGCCGATTTACACGGCTGAATCAATATACGTATTTCAGAGCTAATAAGGGACTTTCTTATTTCCGATTGGGGTTACCAATTACCTAAGTCTAAAGGCCCAACGTAACATAACGTCTCTTTGGCGAGACAAAGCCAGAACACTGACGAGTCTACTATAAGTTCTGTGCCCCATCAGAAATTAATCAATCTTAAATCAAACCTAGAAACAGCCACGTATCCCCCCAGATACCGCCAAACTAAGATATTTGGCTCATTGATAAGTCAAATACTCGTGTAAGCAAGAAAGAAGCGAGATAAGCTCCTCGTACTGTATCTATGCATTTCCCCAAGCACTTGGATCCGTCACTTTGAGGTAAGAGCGGACGACACATAGCACCATCCTAGTGCTAGGTACTGCCAGATAGTTCGAACAAGTGGTCCTTTTCAATTCCTGTACCTATCCAATGACGAGATCCAGTGGCCATCTAGCGTGAGAGGAATGGCGGCTTTCGTACTGACTTTCCAGAAGAGTTGTACCAGTCCTACCCTCCCCAACACGGTAACAGTCCAGTCTGTAGTCAGCCCATCCGACTACCAATTGACGGATACTTGAAGACAAAAAAGTATTTTGCCAGGGGAAGCGCCAACATTAAACACATGAGTAGTGTATAGTCGTCCTGGGAGCTTCCCATCGCATGTGTAATACGGATGTGGAAAGTCTGGGCTAATGTAATTGATTGTGTAAATTGACGGCGATAGTTGCTAGGTAATTCCAGTATTTTCTGCTCTGCTCCTTTCCAGAGCATCCTGTAATCGTCGGCTTGGGGTACCATCAATTCTTGGCTCTGCCAGCGTAAACCGGTGTATCTTGGGGAAGTATTGGGATCTGATCGAGCTTATTCGGTCGATGCAATACATGCAAAAGAGAACCAGAGAGGGTTAGCTGAAGTGCCTGCCTAGAGTAAATATTCAAGAAGTTCAACTATCTTGTTCATTGAGACATCTGGAATCATTGATGTAGTATTTTTGGAATATAATGCAGAGGAGTTGATTATGGAGAAAAACCAGGGCATTGGTGTATTCGCCATCGAGGTATATAGATAAGCTGCCAGGCTAAAACTGTACACCTAGTGTAGGAAGGGTCAAGCTCTGCAACGCCATTGTCGGTAGTAGTAAATTCCCTCTGCAAAGGTTCCAGGCCAAGTTTGAGGTACCAGCACTATGAGAAAGGACCAAAATACGCTGCTAGGAATTGCCGGATTGCAACATCCCGGAATTGTAAGCTATGCATCAAGTGGTCTGTAGCATGAATTTCACCAGCATTCGGTGATCCGGAGTGGCATCATATCTAGTTCTTATTCCAACGTAAAGACTCCACTGCGGTTCGCAGACAACTTGAAGAAGCCATCTTCGAGCTATCCGAGAGAATCATCATTGTGGCGTGATCAAGTCCGGACTTTGCAGGTCTCCACGCAGCGGCCCGGGGTTTGCTGCTATGTTGTAACATCGGTGGGCCATCCCCGCATGGACTATCTGAAAACCGAGCTTATCCCGGAAATGAGGCGGACAGGTACTATCAGATCCCAGGTTCCGTTCTCATCCGAGATGTCATGTTAACGGGATCTAGGGGACACGGCAGATCAACCGTTAGGAGCTATTTTCCGTAAATCCACTCGCTTGGCCCACAGCTTGAATTGTGCTATCATCGGAGCTTATGAGGGGCTTGGTTTGTCGCCTTATGCAGTACTCCTCACGTCTCCTCCACTTCTGCAACGCTCAAGCCCACCTTATCAGCATGCCAAACCCCGGTAGGATGGGACGATGTTTCAAACAGTGCCCCCGTGTGCACTTGTTGATGGCATACGATTTTGGGAGAGAAAAGAGCAGACACCGTTCTCCGTGGCTCCCGAATCAAACGATCAGGACTATGCGAGACTCGCTGTTGGAGATGTTTCACGATATGACAGTCGAACATATAAAGGGAGACAACTTCTCATTGGAATTTCTCCCATCATCTACAACAGCATCAATCATCTCAACAACATCTCTTCTAACAAAACCACCTAACTCATCAAACCATGGCTCCCGTCCTGAAGAAGTACAAGGCCGCAGCAGTCAATGCTGAGCCTGGCTGGTTCAACCTGGAGGAATCCGTCCGCCGGACCATCCACTGGATTGACGAGGCTGGCAAGGCCGGATGCAAGTTCATTGCCTTCCCCGAGCTTTGTAAGGCCTCCCACCTGAATGTATCAGAGACTCTTGGCTAACCCTAGACCAGGGATCCCTGGATATCCCTACTGGATGTGGAAGGTCAACTACCAGGAGAGCCTGCCTCTTCTGAAGAAGTACCGCGAGAACAGCCTTCCGTCCGACTCGGACGAGATGCGCCGGATCCGCAACGCAGCCCGCGCCAACAAGATCTACGTGTCTTTGGGCTACTCGGAGGTGGACTTGGCCAGTCTGTACACCACTCAGGTCATGATCTCCCCGTCGGGCGATATCCTCAACCACCGCCGCAAGATCAGAGCCACTCATGTTGAGCGCTTGGTGTTTGGCGACGGCACCGGTGACACCACTGAGTCGGTCATCCAGACTGACATCGGCCGCGTCGGCCACCTCAACTGCTGGGAGAACATGAACCCCTTCATGAAGGCGTATGCAGCCTCTTTAGGCGAGCAGGTCCACGTTGCTGCCTGGCCACTCTATCCTGGTAAGGAGACCTTGAAGTACCCGGACCCCTTCACCAACGTGGCGGAGGCCAATGCGGACGTAAGTTCTCCTCTGAAAATCCTTCTTTGTTTTGATGTCTGAGGGCTGATGAAGACTGCGCAGCTTGTCACCCCGGCCTATGCCATCGAAACCGGCACGTACACCTTGGCGCCCTGGCAAACAATCACCGCCGAAGGCATCAAGTTGAACACTCCCCCTGGCAAGGATCTGGAGGATCCCCACATTTACAACGGTCACGGTCGCATTTTCGGCCCCGACGGCCAGAACCTTGTTCCTCACCCTGACAAGGACTTCGAAGGACTCCTGTTTGTTGATGTGAGTTACTTTCCCCTTTCGACTGACGTGCAGAATGCTCACATTTTTACAGATTGACCTGGATGAATGCCATCTCTCTAAGTCCCTGGCCGACTTTGTAAGTGATCCTCCGGGCGCATTCTTTACATCTTGCTAACTGTTCCACCCAGGGCGGCCACTACATGCGCCCCGACCTCATCCGCCTGCTGGTCGATACCAACCGAAAGGACCTCGTCGTTCGGGAAGACCGCGTGAACGGAGGGGTTGAGTATACCCGCACTGTCGACCGAGTTGGGCTTTCGACTCCCTTGGAGATCGCGAACACCGTGGATTCGGAGAACTAGAGTCACCCCGATGTGTCGGTTCATTGGAAACCGGCCTTGTTCCTCTCCACTCCGTCCCGTGTCAAACCCGATAGGTTCTCATGACGAGATATTGATGAAGTTCGACTTGTACATTAGAGTTCTTTGA